AGTTGATGAGAGACCAGGATAGGATGTCATAGCCAAGGTAAGTAAAATAGCGTGCGCATTCGACCACAACTTCGATGAGGTTTTCATACGACTCAATTTGGCTCATAGCGACATTAATGACGATTCCGGGATTAGCGTAAGCAATCTTGGCCAATGCCCGGGCCATGGGTCGAATATTTGTCTTGCTGAGTCGCTTGAGGGTGTCCTTGGTCTCCGCTCTCGCCTGGTCGAAGGCCTCCTTGATGTCTGGCAGGCGGGACGTCTGCCCTGAGTACCACTCTGCGTACATATTGTATCGCACATCTCGGGGGAAGAAGCTGATGAGATCAAAAACTTCATTGACCACACCAGGATTTGCTTTTGTTAGACTGACAGCGGGTAGGAGAAGACGCTTGCAAAGATCGCGCCAACGTGTTCTGTTCTCTTCAGATCCGTCTTGGATCAAGCTTCCCTTGCCAATGCGTACAAGCTTCGCCAAAAGGCTGGCATCCTGTCCAATCTTGTGACCAGAAAGGTTGAGGAAAGATGAGCAAAGAGCAAAAACATCGTCGATGGACTGGCAAATGGGGATGTTGTCAGCCCAATCATCCCAGTAGAATCGATAGTCCGTGCCATCGTTGGTGTCTTCTTTATCCAGTTGAGCCCATCGCAGAACTCGTCTCGCAGATGGGGGCGTAAGTCCAATATGACCCTTCGCACTGTTCTGATCAGAGGTCACCATGTATTGAGCTCCGGGGAAGTCACCGGTAGATGACAACGGTCGGAACTGGACATAAACCTTATTCAAGGAGTGATGGAGTATGCGGTGGATAAACTCAGGCAGCTCAGGGTAAGCCTCCATCAACCAGGGGAACTTGCTGATGACGAAAAGGGATTCAGGAATGGCCCCAATGGCGAGGAGACTCTTGAGGAGGAGCACTTTCTGGTCTGATGGGTCCGGCAACTCGTTTTCCGTTTTGGATGCGCCCTTGTCGGATTCTTGGTCTTTACCAGGGGTCGCCACTCGCGGCTCGTCGCGCATGCGGGAAGGGGGAAGTGTATCGTCCGACAAAGCACCGGCCATCATCAAAGCGTTGATCCCGCCACCTGGTCGGCCGCTCTTAACTCTTTCGGCTTTCTCTGCCATTTTTTCGGTCTTCAAACTCTCCATGGCGTCGTCAGATCGCCAGAGGTGAGCATAAAGATCACGCAGAGAGATAAAGCCGACTTTTATGAGCAGAGCGGCAAGGTAAATAAGGTTATCTGGGAGAACGTCGGCTTTGGTTCGAGCCGAAGAAGAATAGAATCGCAACTTGAAACCAAGCAGCTGGGCTGCAACCCGGTTACCCTTCGGGGGTAGAGTGCCAGTCTCTTCAAGCCATGATCGTGTAGCATCTTCTTCAAAGGACGAACCATTAGTTTCTGACAGAGTTCGTTGCATTTCCTCCTCTGAGATCGGTTTGCGGCCGATCTCGAAGAAGGCTTGAAGTCCGATTTTCCTCACTCGATCCCAGAATTGGCTATCGCGGTCCTCATTCGCGCGCATGATACTGGATCGTTCTTCGTCGGTTGTGATCCACCCAGTTGATCCAGGAAGTGCCCAATTCGGAATACCGGAGTGACGACGGCCTGGCTCTAGGCTGTGGAAGATATCTTCCTTCGGCCACCAGGAGCTGGCTCGCAGAAGCTTCACGAAGAAACGATATTGCTTCACAAGAACCGCAGCAAACACATCCAGCGTGACATCTAGCACACGACCGACATCCATGTCGAATGCGCCAATCATAGCCTTGACTCTTTCAAATGTATCCTCGACCACTTCACTTGACGGCGGCTCGTTGTTGCTTGTGGTAAATAGCTCGGTGAGAAGTTTTGAGTATCCCTCGGATTCCTCCCGGAGAAGATTGTAATTGGACTGCCGGTAGAGCAGATTGGTCTGCTTGCGAATTCCCATTCGCGCAAAGGTTTCGCGAACCAATCCCAAGGCCTGCAATAAAGGGGTTTCAAGCTGGAGGCGCATCAAAGAAGGATCAATGCCTGTCGCAAATACAAGTGGTTTGAGGGCCGCGTTCGATGTATCGGCGTCAGTCACGATGGAAAGGGTATCGAGGAACAAGGAGCGCGGGTCGATTCCTTGGTTCGAAGGCTTTCCACTGTCTGCCTCCATATCCACATCCTGGAAAACAGATTCTTCTCCAATGATCTCTTTGACGGCATTTCCTGCATTCAATGGTGACAGTCGACCGTAGATTGCGGAGCGAATAAGCTCCTGGTACACAGATGCCAGGCGAGCCAGATCCTGTTGCAGGCGAGCCGCAGTCCCTTCTTCGACTACAATTTGCTTGCCCACCGAAGTCCATTCCTCAACAGCATTATCGGTCACATATTCATAGTCATAAGGTGGGGGTGGGAGAGAGGGTTGGCGGGTGATGGTCTCCGAGCCAGCTCGAGACGGCGGGTTAGGTTGCGGCTGTGAGACAGGAGTATTCGGCGCAGGAGAAGGAGTAGGTCGAGATGTGGCTGAGTCGCCATTGTACGGCGAAGGTTCGGCAGCTTCCTTGGGCTGATTTATTGGGGGAGGAGACATAGCATTCGGTTCTCTGTGCTGCGAGCTCGAAAAATTCTGACCTTCGTGGGATCCGCGGCGGGAACCAGCCCGGCTACGATGCGATTGTCGGCGAGATCTATCACGCGTGTCGTTTTGCTCTCGGGGAGTGGGGGATTGGTGGCCGGGGTTGGTAGGGTGGTGTGCCATGTTGAGCGTCCCAGGGCGATGGGGTGAAGGTCGCAGGTCATTGCTCCCTGACTCGCCGCCCCACGAGCGCTCAGTGCGCTTCCGCTTGCCATGCCCGTACCCAGGCGCCATGACGATAGCCGGGTTAGACGCGAGGGGTTATGACGGTAGAGCGAGACGCTGAAAGGTTGCAATTCATGCAGTCGTTTCTGTAGGGATCCGAAAAAACAGATGTCAGCACTGGCGGTGAATGAAGGGTAACAAAGAAATAAGGCAAATAATGCGCGTAACAAACATACCAGCAAGGATCGTTCGTTGAAAATAAGGTGGTGGAGAAGCCAAAGGCGTGTAAGGTGAAGATGGAAGATGCTGATGGTCAAAGCTTGGTCCCAATATGCTAGTGGGTGCCTGAGGTGTCTATAATATATTGACCTATTCGCTCTCATTTACACAATCAATTGTAACTTCTATTGCTCTACTATTCACTGGCCAGCTAGTTTATTGAATCCTTTAAAGGGGAATTAATCATATCTGAAAGCTCTACGAACATCAAACGCTAGGCAATATCCCATCTAGAGTATACATCGACAAGAGTAAACGGCCACGTATGGGGCCATGTGGCGCCTTTTTAGAAGCCTTTTTTATGGTTTTTTTAGTAGTGCATTTTCTCCCCCTTCTCTGTTTTATAAGTAGACGGTAGTGAAAGGTGGAAACAAAAGCATACTTTGTGCAAGAGGATCGTCTATGTATAACTGAGATGCATGAATATAGAACACACCAAAACAATACTTGACTACAATGTAATCTACCTATCCTCCAGCTGAAAAGCCTCAAATAACGCGCTTATGAACAAGTTCGTTTGATATAGTTTTCTCGCAAATTAACAAAAGACCCGAGTCTCACAGCAAGCCAAGAGACTTAGCCTCACCCTCGACAATCTCAGGAATAAGATCAATCAACTTAGGCATCTGCGGCGTCCACCCAAATAGCTTGCGCGCACGGATTGAGTTTCCCCGAGAGTTAGAGCCCCAGGCATAGACTCCAGCAGAATTTAGCTCACTTGTCTGAGCGCCATCGAGAGACTCAACATTAGGAGAAGCAATAAGCTTCTTATCAAAAGCAGACTGTGCAACAGCGCGCTGGATATCACCCCATACAAAGGACCCATTCTCAGCGAGGTAGTAGCCCTCGTTATTCCAGGTAGCCTTGCCACCTCCCACTGAGGCAGCCTCACCCAGAGCCAGGTATACATTGCTCAGATCCTGGACGTGAACCTGGTGCCAGACGTTTTCGCCTTTTCCAACCAGGAAACCCTGCTTGCGCTTCAGCACCGCGGCGCTGAGCCAGTAGGCTTGGATACTCTTTGTATTACCGGGGCCACGGCCAGGACCGTAGATAGTAGGTGGGCAGACGACTGCGACCTTGACACTGGCCGGACTCTGCTGGCCAGCACCGAGGATGATCTCATCCACATTACGGTGGAAGGCGTCTGAGGGAAGGCTGACCAGCTCACTGACACCCTCCCAGTCGTTGTACTCCTTAGGGCGCTCGATGCCGTATGTGCCAGCGCGTTGGTCCTCAACTGTCAAGATACCAGTGCCGGAGGTATGGATCAACCACAATGGACGCTCGGGCGTATGGTGCTGAGCACCCTTAGCAATGGCCTTGGCTGCGGCAACATGATCGCAATCAGCGAAGTCTGTGTATACGTTGTTAGCGACCTGATATCCCGATACTGATACATGAGCCTAGATAAACATACGGAAGACAATGTCTGCGTTCTTGACTTCCTCTTCAATCAGCTCGGACGAGTCTAGATCACCTATCACAGTGCGAATCTTGGGGTATTTGCTGGTGACCTGGGTTGACTTTTCCTCGCTACGGACTAGGGCTGAGTATTCCCAGTCAGGGTGGGTGTTAGCAAGGGCGAACAAACCGTCACCGCCGATGTAGCCAGTGACGCCAGTCCTATGGAAATTTATTAGACTGGATGTTTATATTTACACCAGAATAACTTACAGAAAAACCCTGGGAGCCATTTTAGGAAAAGTAGTATTGCCCTGAAAAGATAAGTAAGGAGGGATGCCAATGGAGAAGTTGAAATGCTTTGAAATCAACTTCGACTGCCCAAGTGGGGGACTTGCAACTCTTATACCTAGGTATGTTGTACGAATTAATAATCTACAGTTCACCAGATTCTAAACAGCTTCACTGCCCCACATGATGTCAGAAGTATCTTCACATCTCAATCCAATTCCTGTGTATTCAGTATCCAATATCAAATACAATGGCCTCCGGTAGCTGCGCTTGTCATTATATCAGCTACACAGCCTCCACTCCCCCAACCTGCCTAGTCAATTGCCATTGCACAACCTGCCGCAAACAAGCCGGCGCACCCTATCAAAGCTGGGCATTCTTCGCGACCGAAGATATCCAATGGCGCATCAATCCCACAGAACGACGGGCAAGCAATGCCGCTACACGTAGCTTCTGTCCTCAATGTGGTTCGACTCTTAGTATGATCCTGGATCGTGATCTGAAGAGTATCGGGATCGCTGCGGGGACACTCGATGAGGGGAAGACGCAGATCCCGCTGCCAAGCCATGATATCTTTCTTAGTGAGAAGGCGTCTTGGTTTGAATTGCCCAAGGGGGATGGGGCAAAGAGATGGGATAAATGGAGAATAAATGCTAAACTGTAGCATTGGTGCGTGACTGGATAGCATTCGAGGGGCCTCATGTTGCCCAGGTGCAGGGAATAGATATATTCATTTCGGTATTTTGGATGTCATAAATAATTGCAACTGTGATCACTTTAAAACTTTGAATTGGGCAGAGAAAGAGATACTGAGTGTTCATAGGCTTAGATGACATAATAGAAAGACACGAAAAGGTTATAAGAGGAACAAAGGGGAATCACAAATTCGTGCCGGGGCTACATATACAGACTCGTTGTGTCCTAAAATCAGAACGTGCTGGTGGCCAGTCGGCTGGCTGCATTGCGCGCATCAAGACGGTCATCGTCTTCCTCCGCGATCGACCCAACCTGACTGGAAGCTCGGTTGCGCCCTTTGCCAGGGCCCTGACCATTCACCTCATCGTCGTCATCAGGGAGCGAAGGGGCAGTAAAACTGCCACTCATGCTGCGTCCAATATTGTCATTGCGGCGAGGAACGCCGCTCCATGAGTCACCCTTGGGACCCTGGCTCGAAGCCATGTTTGGCCGGCGCGTCGCTGGGTGGGATTCGCGACCCAGCCGGCTCAAACCGCCGGACGCATCAATAGCACGGATGTCGGGTCGGACACTCTCCAAGGTGGCTAGAGTACGACGCTCAGCTTCGATCTGGCGGAGAGTGTACTCACGCAGGCTAAATAGAAGATCCTGGGTGGTCCGGTCAAACCAGCGGCGCTTCTCCTGGAGAAGGTTTGACGTGACACGCTGGGTCCGCTTGGTCAAGTAATCTTCATGGTTCTGAGCCTCCTCGAGGGCGTTGATCGCTTCATCTACCTTATCCGGACGAACCGATGAGCTAACCTTCAAGCGGTCCGCCGCAGCACGTTTGCTCCGTGCAGTCTGTTGGGCCTGGAGTAGATCACGGAGGAGAATATGGCGGTTAGTCAGGGTTTCCTTCACAATGAAGGCGTCTGAAGAGTGGTAGCTCAACGGCTCGCCGAGGGTGGTAGCCTCCGCGGTGGCCTGAACAGCGTGGTAGTCGCCAACAGTTTGAACAATCTTGCCAAGTTTACGGTACGCGGCGCCTAAGCCGGGATGAGTCTCCTGTACGCTCATCTGACCGATCTTCACGCCGAAGTCGGCCTCAGCCAATCCAAGCCCTAAAACAGTCAGATTCAATCGGAACAAGATATAGGACGAAAATAGCTTGAAGCTCTAATAACATACCACGACGGGCCTTGACCACTCGGTCGACCTTGTGGCTCGAATCCATTGATCCCAAGTAGAACATCTTCGCAGTTGGACGAGCAGCTTGCAACTCAGGTGTGTCATCTGGAGGCGGCGCAAACTGCTTCAACATTTTTCGTCGCACGCCTGTCGCCGGCTGCTTCATCTTCAGGACGGGGCTATATCCAAAGTCGCTCTCTACGAACAGCACAACCTCGTCGTCTTGGATAAGAACCTCATTGCTCAGCACAACATTGAGCCATCGCTGCATTGCCGATTTGATGCGAATCTCATCCTCCTCGGTGCCTGCACCGGCCGGTGTCACTGGCGATGGCACGGCAGGGACCAGAGCTTCAGGGTTGGCGGAGACTAGGTGGTCTGCGAGCTTGACAAATTCGGAATGGGTCCGACGCACATCACGATACTGGGTGGTGCGGAACTTGGGGATATTGGTCTGGTTTCAAAGCAAGCAGGAATTAGCTATGGCAGAGGCGCAAAATACTCAAAGGGGCAGACTAACGTGGACGTCAAAGCGCAAGATTGGGTCTTTCTTCCCCGTCCTCTCCAGACCAGTAATTTTCCCTTGGATCCTATATGCGGGGGCTGGAGGCCGTGGATCTTGTCGTGCTCCGGTCTGATATTGTGCCAGGGTAGGAGATTGCTGTTGCTGGATGTTTGGAGACTGGTGCACACTGAATGGGGGATGCTCCTCGGGGTAGTCCGGATCTCCTAATTGCGCGCTTTGCAGCTGCGCAGAGAGGTCTGGAGATTGGGGTTCTCCATTGTGGCCTCTGCTAACGTCCTCGGCCGATTGATCCTGGCCGGGTAAAGGGGAGGACGGGATGTCATTGTTGGAAGTGGGGAAGGTGCCTCGCTCAGCACGCGGTGAGGCCCAGGGTGAGGTACCAGTGGGATGATCTGGGTCGGTAGAGATGGTAGAGTAGTCCATCTTGGTTGAAGGTCGATGTAAGGATTATGTTCGCTGACAAGGGGGAGTGGCTGGTCATGGTAGGCGTCAGTGTTAAACGGCTGGAGATCCGACCCCACAGCAACGGCCAGCTAGCTTCAAAAGGTACTCGAAAACCTACCTCGTGCAGCTTCAAACCGAGAGAATAGCTGGGATTCGTTAAATTGGCATAACAAAGAGAGTAAAGAAATGGCAAGTGTATGAGCAAAAGACCTGAGTCGTTGACGAGAGGCAGGTGTCGGAGTCGGTTACGTATGGAGGAATGCGTGCGCCAAGCCTCGCGATCCCCAGTCCGCTTTGCGGTCCGATTTTCTTTGCTCTGGAGCGTTCAAGATTGCTCTTCCATTGTATCAATAATAACATACACTCAATGCCAACTTCAACATAATTCCTTAACCTTTTTTCCCATATTACATGAGCGCTTCCCCTTGGAATGGTCGTGGCTCCGTTGTTGCGCTTTCCCTCTGGGGTGCGCTGTATGAGCTCCAATCTATATAAGAGCAATACTACGTGCAAAAATACATGCTCGTCCCTCAAGGGCCTTCGGTCCAATTACAGACAGCTCCAACGCTTCTCCACGACATCTGCATGCCAGGATGAAGCTCTGGACCGGACTCGGAACATCGGCATTATTGCCCATATCGATGCAGGCAAGACTACCACTACGGAGCGTATGTTGTTCTACAGTGGCTTCACACGGCGCATTGGTGATGTGGACGAAGGCTCGACAGTGACTGATTTCCTTCCTGCCGAGCGCGCACGCGGTATCACTATCCAGTCGGCCGCCATTACCTTCCATTGGCCTCCTGGCGAGGTAGATGGAACGACAGGCCCCCAGGCTGGGTCGCAGAATGAGCCGAATCCGCGGTCTGTTTACCCGCATACTATCAATTTGATTGATACCCCTGGCCACGCAGACTTTACATTCGAAGTCATGCGGTCTCTGCGCATCCTCGACGGCGCCGTCTGTATATTAGATGGTGTTGCTGGCGTCGAAGCGCAGACGGAGAAAGTTTGGAACCAGGCAAGCACATATCGCATTCCGCGAGTCATTTATGTGAACAAATTAGATCGTGACGGAGCCGCATTTGGTAGAACAGTGCGAGAAGTCAGTACTCGCTTGGGTGTCTATCCAGCAGTCTGCCAGATACCGTGGTTCCAAGGAGGCAACGGCTCTTTTATCGGGGTAGCAGATGCAATCCATCTCCAAGGACTACGATGGAAGGAAGGCGAGGATGGTCGCACTGTGAAAGTGGCCGACCTTCAACAACTAGACGCAGAGGAGCCCGCCCTGGCTGCAGAGCTACGGCGGGCACGAATCGCCTTGGTCGAGCTGCTTAGTGAGCACGACGAAGACATTGTTGAGAAATTCTTTGAATGTGAAGAAGATCATCTCGCCGTCTCGCCGGCTGATATTATTGAGGGCTTGCGCCGATGCGTGTTGGACCAGACAAGTCGGATTGTCCCTCTATTTGCAGGTGCCAGTTTCAGGAATATGGGAGTTCAGCCATTGCTGGATTCTATCGTGAATCTTCTCCCCAGTCCACCCGAAGCTCCCGACCCAGAGGTGAGCATTGGCGGTGTCAAAGGAGGACTTCGGGACCTGCTGTCAGGAGACTTGATTGTGGAACAGAGCCAGAAGGCGTCCTCGCAATCTAAAGGGAAGCAACCAAAGAAAAAGAATGTCGCCTTGCAGACCAGCTCGAAAGATGCGATCAGCAAGCTTCAAAGTTGTGCACTAGCATTCAAAGTCGTCAACGACGCAAAGCGCGGAGTCCTAGTCTACGTGCGGGTATATTCCGGCTCCTTGGATCGCAACAGCCTTCTCTACAACACGAACCTGCAGCTCTCTGAGCGCGCCCCGCGTCTGCTGAAGATGTACGCCAATGATGCCGTGGAAGTGGACTCGATCCCTGCCGGTCACATCGGAGTCGTAGTCGGACTCAAACAAACCCGGACAGGCGATACCCTTGTTTCCCACGCAGGGAACAAAGCCACTCCCCCGGAGCCGCTTACCAGTCTCCAACTCCGACCAATTGCTGTTCCACCTCCGGTATTCTTCACCAGCGTCGAGCCGCACAGCCTAAGTGAAGAGAAGCGCATGCATGAATCACTTGCCCTTCTCCTCCGTGAAGACCCCAGTCTCCACGTCAATGTGGACGAAGAGTCAGGCCAGACGCTTCTAAGCGGCATGGGCGAACTACATCTTGAAATTGCCCGTGATAGACTAATCAACGACCTCAAAGCCAAGGCCTCAATGGGTCGCATTGAGATCGGCTACCGAGAATCCGTACTTGGCACCTCAAACCCAATTAACAAGGTCTTCGACAAGGAGATCGCCGGGCGAAAGGGTAAAGCAGGCTGCACAGCGATTGTGGAGCCACTGGACGAAGACCTCGAGTCCCAAACGGTAGACCAAGACACCCTTCTCGTCGAAACCTACGATGGCAATCAGATCATCATCCGCGCTCCCGGTCTACAAATTGATCGTTCCTCTCGTAACGAAGAAGAAACTAGCCCATTCCTCCCGCCAGGTATGGAGCTCGTCACGTTCCGCACAGCGCTACAAAACGGAGCCATGGCAGCGTTCGCCCGCGGGCCTCAATTCACCCTCCCAATGCATAATACACGCGTCACACTAACTATCGACCCGGCCGCCGATCTCTTCGGCAACGAAACAACTGCCTCGGCCCTCTCATCTGCCGCACGCCAAGCCACCGCCGCGGCGCTGCAAGATGTGCAGTGTGGCGCAGGAACAGCGATGATGGAGCCAGTGATGAATGTGATTATCAGCGTTGACGAGGCGAGTCTCGGCTCCGTCGTGCACGACATTTCTTCCTCACGAGGTGGACATATCATCTCACTCGATGAGGAGGTACCGCTGTCAGGCACCGACGCGTCGGGGACTTCTGCATCCGCACTTGAAGAAGAGGCGCCGCCGCCCATTGATCACAGCCGCGTTTATGCGCCGCCAGACCCGTTCGAGACGCCTTCTGTTGGCGCGGAGATTCCTGCTGCTGCGGCTCGGCCGCGCACGATTATCGCAAAGGTGCCGCTCAAGGAGATGGTTGGGTATCTCAAGCATTTGCGGAGCTTGACTGCTGGTCGGGGTACTTTTGTCATGAGTGTTGATCGATTTGAGAAGATGTCTGGTCAGAGACAGAAGGTCGTGCTTGCGGAGCTGAGGGGCGGATTTTGATTCCTGACCCTTTGGCGTCGAGTCATTAAACATGGATCCAGCTAGGAATTTTCTTGTATATCATCACATCTCCTAGTATCCCACCACTGTACAATATTGTTCTACTTTTCGGCCACTTCTCACACCTCCCCAATTGCCCCCAGGCCAACTTATTATGAAGTAGATGGAGTATGCATCTGATCATCCCTTTTCCAAAGAGTGAGATCCTAACGAGGTATATGTGTAGGGCAGATAGAGGGCAGAGTATGTAGACACGGAAAGACAACATGGGACATAAAGTCATGGCACTATAAAAGCGGCCCACAAACAAACAGATAACATCGAGCAAAACAACGCGCTTATATGCTACCAGTTGTCATCCCATTCATCCTTGCCCTTACCCGTCGCCGAGGTCGTTGTATTCTTACCCTCTCCGGCATCTGCACCAGACATACCAGGTGTAGAGTTAGCCAGCGAGGAGGCGGTGGGACCCTTGCGCATAGCAGCAGTTCCAACAACATCAGACCGTTGAGACCGTTGTGATGCGCTACGGCGGTGACTAGATGTGTCTTGGTCGCCCATTGACGAGAAGTCGTCCCAGAACTCTCGGCGCTCAGGCTCGACGCGATTACGGCGTCCGTCGCCTCGATCTTCCCCTTCAACAAACTTATTGAAGTGGTCAGCAGCGCCGCGAACGCCCGTTTGCAAGTTCTGGCCTAATGTCGAAGCATGGACGCGGGCCTGGGCTGCGAATTCGGATTCGGCCAGCTGGGTATTCACGTCAGTAATTGCACCGAAAGAAAGTAAACATTATAAAGCTTCTCAAGCGAGGTCGCTTCCATACCTGTTTAGCTGTTGGCTGGAGATAAGCATCATTAACCTGTTTTGCGCTCTTGCCAACCGTCGACGTGAACCACCCAAATCCTTTGGTGATAGTGCCCATTGGGTCTTTCTGAAGATCTTCAAAGGGCTGTCCACCACCGCCACCACCCCAACCAAGTCCCCCAAAGGGTGACGAGCGCCGCTCACTTGCAGGGGCCGCAGGTAGACCCCCTCCGAAACCAGTAAACTTTCCACCCTGTGAGGGCGGCAGGTTATCGACACGACCAGCATTATCATTGCCCAGCTTCGCAAAGTAAGCCTCGTTCTGCTCCTTCTTGCTGGACACACCAGCCCGTTGGCTGTCACCAGAGCGAATGGATGACGCCGCAGGCGATCCAGCCCGCGCGGCGCCAGCAGCACCGCCCAAGCTCAAGGGCGTGCTCGACCGCGAGGTATTGTTCTTCTTCTCCTGGCCTTGGACGTACTCGCGACCGTCAACTTTGCACGCTAACCGCTCCTTCCATTCCTCGCCCGGGTCGCTTTCGTATCGTTCCTTGATAGTCGAGTCTTCGAATGTACGACCTTCTGAGAGAGTGACTGGGTGTTCGTCGTAGAAGGACTTCCAGGGATCATTGCCTCCCAGCTCCATGCGTTGGATCTCGGCGTTTTTGAAGGCGTCCATAGTGATGGAACGGACGAAAGAAATGTGCACACCTAGCCCACGATGCGTGCCGGCGCAGTTGAGGCAGATGAAGGTTCCAAATTTCGGGGAGGCCTGGTTAATGTGCCCATTGCAGGCAAAGAGTTAGCAGGGTGTGCGGTTGGCGGGGTGTGTATGTGGGTTGTTTAGGGTAAGGTGCGGTGGTGATAATGCTTTGCGAAGACAATATCAGGGCGATGGGCGAGAGGGGGGAAGGTAACGCATACCCATTGAGGCGATGGGGCACCGCAATCGCAGCACCTGTCATTTCCGTTCGTCTTGGAGATTTGGAGGAGCTGTGGCACATGTCTGTGTCAGTGACCATGGCGCATCGCGGGATTTGATCTGGTAGCACACCTTTGTCCTCGTTTCCGGGTCGACCTCCCACATGCGAGACATAATGAATATACAAAGGCGACCGGTGGGACTTGAGAAGACGCAATCCCAATAACGGAGCTAGGATGTTGCAAGGTTGACCGACTCGGCACCGCGACGTTGGGTGATTTACCCCTTTTCCTCGTTTTGATATTGCGGAAAGACTGAAAGGTATTGAAGGAACAACGTTAACGCAATTGGCTCAATGATAGAATAAAATTCAATTGAAGAGATGTGAGACAATGTGAGTTCTATGTTTTGCCTCTGATCGGCAAGGGTCGGACTTCGCGTCATCCCCAACCAAATCGGACACACCCACTATAAACAGGTCCATTGTACAGGTGTTGGAGGGACTACTCTTTAAATCCAATATGCCGGGTGGCAGATCGTCATCATTTAGTAAATGTGTGCTAAGGTACAATACAGAAGGCGAAGAAAAAAAAAGAAAGTCGTTAAGGACGAAAAGCACATCAGCAAAGATGGCTCTCCTGCATGGTCACTCCATGTTGTCCGATAAAAGTCATGAATCCAACCCCTCTCCCCAATCTCCCCCGTAATCGTTGAGTAGCTAAGATATTCACGGTGATCTGTGGTTTGCAGACCGCCATGATCATATCAATACGATCCTCCGTTGAGTCCTCCCCTTCTGTTTCTCAACCTCAAAGCCAATTAGCAAGTACCTCATTCGGTCGAGTGGAATTTGTTTGGCATTTAAGCCTTGGTGGTGACGGCAGGGGCAGCGTTCTCCTGAGCAGGGGCAGGCGCAGCAGGAGCAGGAGCAGCCGCAGCCGCAGGGGCAGGGGCAGAAGTAGAATCAGGAGCAGCAGTCTCCTCGGTCTCGGTCACAGCGTTAACATCATCGTCTTCCTTACCAGGGCTGTCAATGGCAACCTTCACAGCGATGACGCGACCATCAATATCCTTGCCGTTCATCTCGCTGACAGCCTTGGCCTGGAGCGCCTCAGAGGCAAGGTTGACGAAACCAAACCCACGGGTCTTGCGGCGCTCGTTGCGAGCCTGCAACTTCTTGATCATGAAACGGGGGATGGGACGCAGGGCAACCTTGGCAGAGACGGGCTCGTAGGCGGCGAAGATCTCCTTGAGCTAAAGGGGGAAAGAGTCATCAGTTAATGTAACCTTAGGCGGAGAATTAGCGGGGAAAAAAGATGTAACCCACCTTGTCCTCAGTCAAGTCGTACGGCAGGTTGGCAACCATGACCTTAGTCTTAGAGGGAATGCCATCCTCGGGAGGACCGCGCTGCTTCTGGGGACGTGCGGCGCGGGTCTCGCTGGTCTTCGAGGCAGTGTCCTTGTCGTTTGTGGTCTCAGCAAGGGGGGTTTCGCCGACAACAGCCTCGGTGGTGGCTTCCTGGCCATCCTGGGCCTTGGGTAATGTCAGCATCCATTTCAGAGTGTCGATGTGCGCGGATTTAAGTAGGGAAAGAGATTGGGCACATACAGCACGGCTACGGCCGGTGCGGCCGCCACGACCGCGGGCACGGCCACGGCCACGGCCGCGACCACCAGCACGCTTGCGGCCCTCGGCGCCTTCGCCGCCACTGGCAGCACCTTCCTTGGCCTCAGCGGGCTCGGGCTTGCGGGCAAGCTGCACGGACACCTTGCGCTGAAGAATCTCCTTGCCAGAGAGGGCCTCAATAGCGGCAGAAGCTTCAGCTGCAGTAGCAATGTCCACAAATGCGTAGCCAACGGGGCGGTTGGTACGGGGGTTCACCGGGATCGAGGTGGTCTCGCTAAGAGATGAAATGTGTCAGAAGAATGGTCCCATAAATGATGGTTTCACATGTATGAATGTTTGTTGAAGGTGGGGTTATTTGAATGTGATTCACAAAAGAGTTAACTCACATGGTGTAGGCCTTGAAGAACTCCTTGAGCTCCTCCTCAGTGGTCGCGTATGCGAGGTTGCCGATGTAAAGACGGCGACCCTCATCTGCACTGGCAGCCGCGGCATCGGCAGCCTGGGTGGAAGGGGTAGCACCGTTGGTATCGGGCTTATCGGACAGGGTGGTCGCAGCCACGGAGTCAGCAAGTGCGGCGACGTCAGACATCTTGAAGGTTGAGATGTTGAAGGATGAAAAGTGTCGGGTGTTTATTTGCCTAAAGCTGAAAGAGACTTGTCGGGAGGTGGAGCGAGGGAAGGAGCAGGGTAGCTTCGTGCCCTAGATACCAATTGAAAAGAGAAGATGGAATTGAAGTTTTTGATGCACTGGATCTTGAAGAGAGGGAGGAGGAGGATGGGAGAAGGAGATGGAAAGGGAAAGGAGAGGCGGTGTAGGACTAGCCCAGTGAGAGCTCGGCGATCGAGGGTACTTTCCTTCGATCACCCCATTGGGGGGGGCCTTCCCTAATTAACCCCCTACTAGCCCCGAACTAGCCCCCAATTAGCCCCAATGACGCCCTAATCTTAGGGCCTCAACCCCGAATGCTCCCGAGAGTTCCTTCAACACCTTTCCCCAGCCCCGCCTTAGAAAGCCTGACTCATAACAGCTGGCCTGATGTCATTCTGGAGACCTTATGAGCCAATGATCTGTACCCACTTTCCCCCTAGTTTCTATATAGTTTCACTTTGTTATTCTGATTTTTATTCATATCTTTCTACACTGCATACCAGACTCTACACATGTGCATGATATCCGTGTGACATATCCTATAAATAATGAGATCTTCTACGGTTATCTCCACTTCATATCTCCGTGACTTCAGGTGCCTTCACAAGCCTTCGAACTCATCTTACATTGTAGAAGATGGTAAGCATGGGTATACAATTGTCTACGGAGTAATACTCTGTACTAAATTTGATATTCAACCAAACTGATACTAACCTTGGAAATCTTGTTCCCGGGCTACACAGGTGACACTTAGTATATTGTCTCCTTGCACAATATCACAGTTGTCTTACAAGAAATCCTTGCTCAATTTGAGCCCGGATTCTGAACCAAGTTTATTTCCGTTGGGCTCATTTCTGTCAGGTATGCAATTACCTCATCTACCTGGTTTGCGACCCTAGAGTACTGCTATGTTTCGAAAACATTGGCTAGTTCAATGTCAAAATGCTTCACAGGCAGCTTCGGCCTGATCTGAGGGCACAAAGATTCACTTTGCTGTACATTGCAGAGTCGGCTAAAAGATCCCTGCCTTGTTATATGTTTTAAACATATTTTGATAGGAACCTTCACGATTGGGCTGACATGGGCATCCAGTGTACGATGTAGCGGTAATCACCAATCTCACAATAATACGTTTAAATAATTCCCCAGAATGACCATGGAATGAGTTAACCTATGTTGTAAGTTCCTAAACAAGCCTGTTTATCGCCACGATATTTTATAAGGCATGTAGATCCATATGGGTTCTAATGACGTCCCCATATTGCCATCGCTGCGTCAGGTATCTAGACACCTTGATTCTCAGGCATCATGTAAAAGCTTGATAACTAGGTAACTACAGTCCAATTTGGGCAGTTTATTGGCCAGGAAGTCAGGACTTGCCACTGTACACAATCGGAGGTCTGACTCTCAACCTTGATTCCGTTAACAGGAAAAGAGAAAAAAGAGACCTTTAAATGCAAGCACATGAAGATCGACGGTTTAGCGTGACAATGGACGTGTGAACTCCACTAAGCTCGTCACTGCGGAAAAGAAAAAAAAAACAAGATTCGGGAAGGGCTGAGTCATCCTTGGATTTAAACACCCCAAGAGATCCAGAACGTTCAGGGACTGTTTTCCATGTGGATCACAAAGGGGGAGTTCAGGTCCTTGGTTTACTTATATTTTCCTTTTGTTCTTGGGCATAATTGGATTGTGTGATATTATCCCCCCCGGAACTCGTCGCTCCAGCAATATGGATCGTATCGACCCGGTCGAGGATAACGCCTCTAATGGGAACCCTCAAGGGACCCAACCCACAGGGCAACCCACAGAGTCCGGCCCCGTCAGGCCAGCAGGCCCTGCCCCGTTGCGCACTCAAGGCGACTCACGGGCGCGACGACCGAGTATTCGCTTGTCTCGCTTCCCATCTATCCCTTCACTAGACAACGTTAATCAACCGTCTCAACCCGGTGGTCAAGGTCAACCATTCGAACCGCGGCCTATCCGATCCCCTCCTCCCAATGAAGAGGACGAAGCATGGCTAGCGGGTCGGCGGCGCAGTAATTCGGAGCCAAATCCGGGACGATGGTCATCTCCCCCTCCTGATCTCTCACGAGTGGCGACTCCCATACGAATGAAGCCTGTGACCGAGGAGTCCTCACACCAAAGTCCGGCACCAACCTCTCCAGCGGCAGTATTGCCCGGTCGAGACACTCACTCCGACTCTGGGCAACTGGATCCGGAACAAATCGAGGCCCCTCCCGCACTAGCGCGACCGGCGGGTCGGCTTCGGCGAACTAGCCAAGCTGCGTTGAATGCCTTTACTCGAAACCGGGCAAGCACAGTGACAGGAGCTGCACCAACTCTGAGCACACAGGAGGAGCAACGACAGAACGAGTATGGATCTCACGTCGTCGATGTGCTGGATGTGATCGGTAAGCACTGGTGCCAAGAGTGATACAAAATCCATGATTTTAACTTACCCAAATCTAGATCCTGAGGTCTCTGCACTTTCCACTCTCACCAATGTCCAAAACTCTCTCTTCGTGCCGAACCTCGGTGGGTTCATCAATCGCATGCCCACCTATACGATTTCACGACCACAATATTCTTCAGATGAGGAACAGGGAACTACAACGGACGAGGGTGAACCCTCCAAGGGGGACAAGGCCAAACAACGGCCGACTCTAGCAAAACTTCATTCATTTTCGAGTATGTCCTCGGTGTTGCGTGGACCCAAGTATGCCGTTCTCCCAGAAGGGCAAGGGCTTGAAGGATGGACCAGGGAAGATTTTGCCGAACTCAACGATCACGTTCGACATATGCTTCACTCTCGACGATCTAAGTTCAAACGATCCATGAAAGGATTTAGGCAGTACGTCCGGAAGCGTGAGTGACACTCCCCGCCAAAACATCTTCGCCAGATACTAATTTCGCCTAGCTCTCGGTTTTCTTGTAACTCTCTACGCAACTTTGATCACCCTGTTCGGTTTGGCCTGGGTTCTTTTCTTGATTGGTGAGATCTCCTGGAATGATGCTTTTTGGCTAGTATACTGACATTCACTTCAGGTTGGATCAATGTCGGTGGAAAACAAAATTATATTGTCAATATCATAGATAACGTTTTGGTTGCCCTGTTCGCCATCATGGGTGATGGACTGGCTCCTTTCCGCGCTGTCGATACATATCACATGAGTTTCATTGCCCATTATACATTCTTGTCCTGGAAGCTTCGTCGGAAGCGGGCCCTGCCAGGCCTCAAGGACAAGAACGATCTGCCGTCGGTGCCGGAGAAGGACGTTGACGTTGAGTTCGGTGACACCGTGAAGGAAGACGAACACGAATTTTCTGTTCTCGATGCTCGCCAACAGTTGCGATTGATGCATCACCAGAATAAATTTGCAAAGTCGCATACTTTCTATAAACCACACGAAACCATGACCCACCACGCCTTCCCCCTACGCTTACTCATCGCTATTGTCGTCATTCTTGACTGTCACTCTTTGCTCCAAATGGCTCTTGGTGCCTGTACCTGGAGTATGGAGGACTACAATAAGCGCCCATTCGCTCTGACGACGGTTATCCTTTGCTGCTCCATCACCTGTAACATCGCGGGTGGTGTGATGATCATGATTGGTGATCGACGAACCCGAAAGAAGGATGTTGTCGAGCGGCTCTTCCGCCAAGAGCTGACCGAAGAAGCCATGAGGAAGATGGAAAAGAAGAAGGTCAAGGAGGAGCGCCGCAGTGCTCAGATCGAGCGGTCCAGTGCCCAAATTGAGCGGCCTAGTGCCCAAATTGAGCGGTCCAGTGCTCAAATTGACGGCCCGAAGCCGTATGGCGGCACCTGATTCCAGCAATTTCCATTCTCTCACTTACGAACGTCATGACACGGGCATTAGGAACGTTGGTCCAGCTGGATCAAAGCGTTCCTTTCATTTGCCCCACTTGTACAGATTGCCAACTGATATTAATACTGTTTTTGCTCGTTGGTTTTATATGCTAGCTACGGAGTTTCATTGGGTCCCATATAGGGATGACATCTGCTTTCTATGATTTGTTTTCTGGCCTACGGTAGCGTTTTGATTTTAGCTGCATTAGCTTGTTATTTTGGAATAGAAGGAACGTAGATATGAACAATATGAACATCAATCCCTCGCAGAATGATACGAATTCCATGAAATTAAACGAAGGCCCGTCAAGTAGTGATAGTAACCTTCTCCCCAACCCATTTCCCTCCACCCTTAACAATCTCCTCAAATATCCACTCACCAACTAGAGCCCGTGAGATCGTATAACCAATAGCAGGATCACTCTCCGTCCCAGCCCTCACTTTCTCCAATCCCGCCCCTTTGCCCCCTTCCTCCCCGTCACGAACAGGAACCAGATGATCCCCCGTCAAAAAGCTAGGTCTCACAACAACAACTCCAGCCGCAAGCACACCAGCATGTCCCAACTCAACATCCTTATCAAGCAATTTCTCCATCTGCAACTTATCCGCATGCGGGATCGGCAAGAGAACAGAGTACATAGGCCTGAACCAGAACGGCACATCTTTATTACCAGGCAAATGCCCAGTCGTCGATATCACAGTGACCCTTGGCGCAACAGCACGATATGCTTCGAGCGAGGCAAACCGCTCAGAAGCAATCTGCGTCAGCGCCGCCAACAGCGCGCGTGTTGTCTCTTCTGTGATGTGCGGGTTTGAGAGCTCAATGTGTGGCAACGCAGGCATGCGCATCTGAGTATTTGCGCATTTTGTTTCTTTAGTAAAGGAAATTGTCGGTGTGCCGCCTATGCCGGAAATTATGCTTGTTACGAGAGTACAAGCGCCATTGGGTGTGCTGTTGGAGTTTGTGATGAGTGTTTTCGTGACGCTCTCCACATCTGTTGCATCTCCTTCAATTATCTCGAGCTGGCGAGACAGAATTTCCTCTGTTATGCCATGCTGTGAGAGGAGTAGCGTTGTGAGTTTTGAGGGGGTGCGGGCTAGGGCTCTGGCGTTGTAGCCGTTGAGAAGGGTGTGGGTCAGGCAGACGTTGGCGCAGCCGCCGGTTGCTCCGAAAAAGGCGATGGTCGTCATTTCACGGATTGGCTGGTGTGTATAATTTAGGGTTTAGATTGTAGATTGTAGATTGTAGATAGAGCTTGGGGTTTGCTTGTATTGCAGACCTTGAAATGGTTTGTGATAGTGATGACAGAACCCCGAGGATTCAAAGATCCTTTATACTAGTGATTGTGATATACCATCCTTTCAGTGGGCTGATATTGGCTCTTGGAAATCTATCCGTCCCCGATTTAGGCAAACAGCAAGTGAGGTTATAGTATAGAAAGTGTGGCCGTGTAGTCTAAGCTCAGCACAAGTGGCGTATGCTAGGTCGGAAATGGTTTAGTGGCGGACGAATAATCCACCGACGCGGGCGAACTGTTCTATAGTCAACGATATTGTTGAAAATATAATAGGAGTAAGCACTACATTCTAGTACTTGAAGTAAGCATGGGCTATATAAAGAGTTGAAGATGGGTGGAATAATATCTGTGTTTTTGGCATTTTCCTCCAGAAATATATCTACAGCACAACAGCCTGACAGCATAACACGAATATTGGAATAATTTTAAATTGTTCCTTGTTTATTTTATGACCATTGAGCATTATCCATTAATCCCCCAAAGCGATAGATGCTCCCCGTCTATGAGATTTGGCTCAAATTATTACCAAGCTCTAGATCTAAATATAAGTGATAGGTAGAGAAGAACAACAAATACTAATGATCTGAAGTCAGTCAGCTTTGCACAAGAGCAAGGTTATAGGAGCTACGTGGTATATTTTGTTTCTGTAATTGTTAGTTCATTTGTTTGTTTGGATTGAGATCCATTTCATAAAAGTCCGAATATCTCGCCTAATACATATACTTCTATTTCCTTTTAAGCTTGTTTCCATGGCTGGTAAGCTGCCCTAGTGTAGAGACAAATATATGAATACTGTTAACCTCCGTTTGCCCAATCATGCCATCAGTAACTTATTATGCTGGTGGCCGATGAAACTTTAAGCCTCTAGCATAAAATGAGCATCAAATGCTATGCAACTTGTCCCTGTAATGCAGACACAAGAGCAACAAAGGCAAGCCCATTTTTATATTCCCCAATCGCTCCTGAGCTAAACCGCATCAGGTTGGACTAGGCAGCACCAGGCAGCGGCCTGGGCATGGAGAAAACCTAGCTCACTTATCGCTCAATATAAAAGCTACCACCTCCATGATAGAATCAATCTATGCGTCTCAGACTATCTCATGATTTTGACATACCTTGAAAATTCCGGGCTCTCCGCACGACATGTCTATCGAAACACTCCCAAAGTTAATCAAGTCCTACCTCGACAAAGAAGACCCCTCAAACGCCGTTGATGAAATCCTACGTCTAACTGAATACCTGATCCTGTCCAACCATCTCACCGAGGCCCATCTGATTGCCTCGGCCGTGTACAGACTGGTAACAGATTTCAATTTCACCGACAGGAGCGACGGTGATGACATCGGGGTATACACTCGTATCACTCTAGAGATCTTTTGGACTGTGAACCAATCGACTTTCCCCCGACCCAAGAGGGCACTGGCTCCCGGTGGGAAGAACTCTGAAACCTGGGTATCCAACCAGCAATGGGGTAAATACCGAGAATGTACCCGTACGGGATGGATGTTGGAGCACGTTGGGCTCGCCGAGCCAGAGAATCCCTCTATCTGGCGCGAGACGGACGACCCAGCCATGCTGGCGATGTGTGTGCGACTGCTCGCGAAAACAACCACCCCGTGTACTTACCCGCCGGACAATTTAGCACGGGAAGCACTCAAGGCAGCGCAAAAGTTCTATTCAACACCGGATATACCAGCGGAAGTGTGTGGCCGGGGCCCCGACAAGCCAAAAAGACAGTCGTATTTACTGTATCGGCGGTTGGTTGTCGAGCTCGCGATTCGCTTGGGCGAAATGCAAACAGCAGCAGATATCCTTGGCCAAGGGCTAAGGCAGGATTCATTTCCTAATGGGGGCTCGTTGGAGGAATTTTTGATGGTGCCTGGTATCTATGATGTCTTGCCTCTCTTAGCTCGTGGTGGGAAGGAAAGCAATCCTTTCTTCATTCCCAAGGAGGACGCAGTGGTGATGGTGAGGGAGATAACCGCTGCGTTGGAGCTACGGGCTGAGCATGGGAGACAGTGGGAACTGCATCCATCTAAGGTTGGATGGAGGGAGTTGTTAAATCGACTTGCTGAGGGGACATGGAAAGCCCACCCCAAAGAGTGTCAGGAGATGGAAATAACGCATCCCATGGATCTCCTGTACGAGCCTGCCACGGAGGAGGAGATCGCGGCAGCAGAGGAAAAAGTTGGTCAACTACCCGCTGATTTAAAAGATATGGTTCGAGTGGCAAACGGGTAAGTACTGCAAACCATATGACCCTGCGGAAAGGACGCCGATATCGTTTAATTCATGACTGACTAGATCATCCAGATTCCTGGGCGGCTGGCACTTCTTCGCAGGTGGTATGTCGGGCATTCAATCGATCAGAATAGATGAAGGTGAGAATGCAGACCCTGGCTATATGCATTTCGAGGAGGAGATGGGAGAATTTGAGTACGAGATGATCCAACTTGAGGCCAGCACCGTATGCGATGGATACAGTCATTTCATTATTCCTCCTAGGTGTTGGAAGGAGGGTAGGAAGCAGGAGGGGGTAGAAGTCAAGGACGGCGAGTATCGGTATTGGTATCACGCATCTTGGAGCGGAGTCACTCACTGGAACTCCGTGAGGGACTTTGTTTGTCACTGCGTGGAGGAGGTCGAGGAGATGATTGAGAAGGGCGTAGAGGAGGATTTCGAACCAAGCTCGGATTTTTAATCCTGGGAAAGTGTATGGCAGTCTCTTACCGCCAATACGCCAGTTCCGATTTCGTTTGTACGGTTTGTCATAGTATATCTGAATGCGATGAAGTACACAAGGTAAATTCCAGGAAGCTCAGAAAATAATTTGATTCCAAGTGACAGCTTGGGGCCAGACTTTTATAGATATGGGCCCCAGGTTTACCGCGCAGGAAACGACAGCAAAGAAGTCAGAAACGAGAGGGCGCGGAAGAGTTGGAGAGGAGAGCCATGTTGTGATCTAAGACCTAGGATTTAATACAGTGTCGGACTAGAGGGAAATTGACGATAGATTTTTCATGGCTAAAAATGGTGGAGTTCACGGCCTTGGCTATTAGGCATACTGGTTGTTGGGCATGAATGCAAGTTATCCTAGCTCAGCGTATAAATACTAACTCGAGTACCCGTGCAAGAAAATACTATATAGCTCAAATTCTCAGCTAAGCTATGTCATTGCGGTTCACAGAGTTGCTACAGATTTATGAAGACATCTGTCCGACCTGGCTTTGATTTGTTGGACCATTTCCATTCCTGCGACTTCACCGAATATTTGATGATAGTAGGCACCCCTATTCGTCTATATTTTAAGTAGCAACGTCATTTTTATATCTAAATCACAGATCAACATCGGAGGATCTCCCTTACAGCGTCTAGCACAAAACCCGATTGCAGCTATAAACACATCGTCCCTCTGAGCGAGAATCTTTACCCAATCGCGACGGTTAATGCATATTGAATTTTGGACTGCATATAGAAAAAAAAAAAAAAAAAACAAGAAGAACAGGGCCCACCTATTTGAATTTTCAATTGTCTCAACTTTCATCCTCAGATCCTCTTGAACCGGGTCAATCATGACTTGGTCGAAGCCATTTTTGAAGCTTCGCGACCAGCGACCGTGGCTGTTGCCATTGAGGTCCTCACAATCCTTCATAGTGACGACGATTTCTCTGTCAATGTTCACGGTATCTTCCCCGGTCCCTTAGCATCTAAACAATATAAGCTCCAGCTAATTAAATTTCTATATAGGATCTCTTTCTCTATGCTATGGTACACATATTCTGACCAAGACCCATGATCCTTACCTGACCACAGCAGATTGTCCCTGTCATGCCTCAGGCATTAGTTTCACGAGCTGGAGTAGCATTTGAAGATAGTACGAAAGCTTTACAAAGATAGATACTCATTTACTAATATCAGTCTCTTTTGATAGGAGAGTATTGGAACAGCGTCCTCCTGATCTCTGAAGCCGTCTCGGCACTTGCATGCTGTCCGATACTTGGATACTTGTTAGACGTCTCTGGAACACGCCAGGGCCCATATCTATCTGGACTCGTGTTACTATTTGCATCTATGGTAATTTTTACAGCTTCACACTCGGTGACATGGTATATTATCGCCAGGGTGCTCCAAGGCGCAGCAACGGCCATGGTATCGGTAGCTGGTCTTTCAATTGTGACAGATGCAGTAGATAAAGCGAGTCTTGGACAAATGATTGGATATCTTGGCACCGCCATGACATTGGGGTTTATGTCTGGTCCATTACTGGGAGGACTGGTCTACGAAGTTGGAGGATTCTATGCCGTTTTTGGTATGGCTTTCGGGATCATTGCTCTTGACTTGTTGTTTAGACTCGCTGTTGTCGAAAAGAGGATTGCCGAACATTGGTTATGTCTCACTGATGGCGAGCGGCCAAGTCAGGAAAATGGTTATATTCCCGAGCAGCCACCATACGGAACTATGGGGACTATAACCAGTAACGGTCATATTGTCACGGAAACTTCTAAGAGTACTTTTGCGCTGGGCAAGCTTTTAAAGCAGCCACGGATTCTTATTAGCCTCTGGGCAGTTATAGTTGGGGCGCTTGTGGTCTCAGCATTCGATGCGGTATGGAATGCAGTCTTTTATGTTGGAATTGCACTGACACTCCTATATAGACACTCCCAATCTTCGTGGAGAACACATTCCAGTGGAATGTTCTAGGCGCAGGTCTGATATTCTTGCCAGGTGCTTCAGTGGCCATTTTCCAACCATTTTTTGGTACGCCGAGATCATATCACCATACCTTATTGCATGATCCTGACCTGCTTTCTAGGGTTTTTATCTGACCGGCTTGGATCGAGAGTGATTACCTTCGCAAGCTTTGCCATTCTATCCCCGAGTCTGATTTGTCTTCGTTTCGTCGAGGAAAACTCACCATCTCACATAGCTCTTCTTTGTGTGATTCTGGGTCTTGTTGGAATGTGCATCGACTTGAGCGAGCCGGCCTTGATAGTGGAGATGCAGCGTGTCCTGGATGATATGGAAGCTGGAGACCCTGGGATCTTTGGGGGTAGAGGTGCTGTGGCTCAAGCTTTTAGTTTAGAGAATATGGCACATTTTGGCGGTTTGGCATTAGGACCTATGGTAGGTGGGTTTGTGGAGTTCAAATATGGTTGGAAAATTATGACTCTTGCGCTGGGAGTTCTTTCTGCGGTTACTGCTATGCCTATGTTATGGCTTAGTGGTCCTATGGAAGAAGTCTCCTGGACCGAGTCTGCTGATGAAGAGATGGAACGTGAACCCCTGCTGGCGGAGTAGCATGTGTCAGGCTGTGTATAGTACAACCTTTTCTTTTATCGCATTTATTTTGAGGACATGACAAGTAAGCTCAGGTAGATTTAGTTATCTTTCACATCACTGCCGGTGAAGTTTAGCCATCAGATCACTTGAGTATGTAGTGTTGACATAGAGGGCTTTCGTTGTACGTTACTCTTCAAACATCTCCCCGGCTGGTTCCTTTCTGTATCAACCCGAAAACCATGTTGTCTCTCGGTGATCTAATGGGGAAATACCATTCCGTACCGAGAACACAACTTGACAATCGTGAGTAACGTTCAAGTATTCATAGTTACACCAGTAGATAATGCACGATAATGATGAGGGATAAGGCAACCGAATTGCATCTTTAAGAAGAAGAGAAACTCCAGCTTGACATGAGAAGGGCGAAGGATCCGGTGACTATCAACATGAAGCTTTTCGAGCGATCCCAAAAATTGCTGTCGAAACTTTATACCACCACACGTACCTTGCTCCAATCTTCTCATATCCGCGATGACATCAAAGTTCAAAGCAGCTACGTCTTCCCAGCAGAGTCAGAGTGCCATGAAGCCACAATAATGGGGTTACCATCTCGATGTTCCCTACCCCCCGATCAGTATGATGCTATGTGCAATGAATTAGCTCAACTAGCGGCGGCGATCACTGAGTTCGAACCGGTTCGACTGTACGCGAGGCCCGAAGACATCCAATTGGCCGAGTCCTTAGTCAAGACTTTTGTGAAAGATACATCGAAAATATCTGTCATTCCGTGTCCAATCAATCACTGCTGGGTGCGCGACACAGGCCCAGTCTACGTACGCGACACAACAGGAGCATTCCCAAATCAACGGTTCGCAATCAACTTCCGGTTTAATGAATGGGGTGGGAAGAAACCCGAAGACGACGGAATTTGCTGGGGTCAGCGATGGCCCGTGATGAATGAAAGGGCACTGCAGGAAAACACTGATTTCGCGCGGTGGGTAATCGAGCACGACTGCGAGCCTAGCCCCGTTACGCAGGTCGAGACTTCGATTCGCGCCGAGGGCGGTGGTCTCGTTACCGACGGCGAGGGAACCTTGCTTATCACGGAGAGTAGCATTGTATGCGATATGCGCAACCCAGGGTTGTCCAAGGGCGAGATCGACACGGAGCTGAAGCGAGTGCTCGGGATCGAAAAAGTGATTTGGTTCCCGGGGCGGCGCGATGTGGATATTACCGATGTGCATATGGACGCTGAGGCAAGATTCGTGCGCCCTGGTGTCATCGCTTACTCTAAACCACATGCCATTGCGCCAGACTTGTGGAAGGAGTTGTCTATGGAGATCTGGGAGATTCTGGATCGTGAGACGGACGCTAAGGGTCGGCGCTTGCAGATCCACACTATTGAAGAACCCGACCCACGAGGCTTGGTCAAATCAGAACACGATGAACTTTCGGCCAGTTATGTAAATTTCTATTTTGTTAACGGGGGTCTGATAATCCCTAAATTCGGTGATGGAGAAAGGGATCAACAGGCTTTGGAGATGTTTCAGCAGTTGCTCCCTGAGCGGGAGATTCGGCAGGTGTATGCTAACGCTATTCCCCTTACTGGTGGAGTTCTTCACTGCGTGACCCAGCAGGTTCCTGCAATGAATTGAACCAATGAGAATGGGTGGCATTGGGAATATTTCTTTTTGGCTCGGTTTAAAAATAAGATAGCTTTGTCAACATGCATCCATATTTAGGTCTGGGAGATAAATTCTTACTCAGACATCGCACAGCATATACATACTATTGAATATTTGAACCTGCGAATATTCTATTTCCTTTAATTCCTGTGAAACTAAAATCTTCGGGGGCTGGAGGAAGCTCTGGGGCAATGTTACAGGGAGCTGACTCTCCCTGTCGCAAGGTATATATCTTAATTTTCAAAGAAGCAAATATAGTAAATCCTAAGCTCCCAAGTCTAACTGGTCCAATGTGTAACAAATCTAATTGCCCGACAAAGTCGAAAAATACAAAGATCGAGGGCCCTAGTGAGATCGAACCAGATGGGAGACGGGGGGTCGTTTTAGGGCTTCAGCTACGCCTCAAAAGATCGGCGCATCACATCTGAAAGTTGAGTTCCTGCATGTTGAAACTTGAACTGAATTTCTATGACATATAAGTACTCAAAGTACTAAAAGTACTATGCTTTCATTTTTCATTTCACCGAGACATATTCAATATTTTTAACCCGGGGAATATCACGGCATTTCAGCTTATTCTAATTGCCAACATGCTGGTCACACTACTCAAATATTTGTAGATATGACCTTTGATGTACATGTGCGACGATGTTCTCTCGAGTTTCGCCAGCTCGACGCCACCATCTCCATAATAACTACTATTGAGCCGATCACATACGCTATATATGGAGTACTCCATACTAGCTTCGAATCATGCAGAATTGGCTCAATCGGCCGATCTAGTCACTAGTCGATGCGAGTCTTCAGCTCATGCACACAATACATTCCCCCCGTAAAGCCCTAAAAAACACACGTCAATTTGTCTCAATAAAGATATAATTGGCTCCCTCACAACTTAACTGGAGAAGTGAGGCCTTTATCCCGTGTGACTTATTGCTTATTCCTTTCCGTAAGATCCAACGTAATGCAGCGTTTTAATTGCGTGCAAGCGTGCATTTAATGGCTTTTCTTCATCTTTTAGCATCATCGATCGATGCTCAAAGTCTCTTTAAACGATCGGTTCGCACGGCGATCGCCGAAGAGGAAAGTGAATCTTGCTAAAAAAGGAATCCATATACTTCAGGGCTTTTGTATTATGGTCCTACATATATTTTGCAATGTTGTTTCAGTTACAGAACTCTCCATTTTCCCCAGTTCTCGATCGACTACTCTCCACCATCATGGCTCTTCTCCCTGCTCGTGAGGCCGTGAACATTGGCAAAGTTATACATGCCACCGGATATCGAAACCTCCCACCAGATGAGCTAGTTGATCTCGCGATTGAGAGTCACATTGCCCATATAATTAAACGCTCTCGTGTTGGTGGCGATGAATCATTCTTCATTGCCGATTTGGGCCAGATATTTCGCCAGCATCGTCGTTGGACCCAGAATATGCCCGGAATTCGACCGTACTATGGTATAACATTCCTGTTCTATAATATTCCTGGTTTTTGGATGTCATTTTGTAGAAAACTGACATTCTTCCGCAGCGGTGAAATGCAATTGTGACCCAACCTTTCTCAAAGTTCTTGCGGAACTTGGGACGGGTTTTGACTGCGCTTCCATTGAAGAGATGCGTGCAGTTCTTAACCTCGGCGTGGATCCAGCCCGGATTCTCTTCGCCAATCCATGCAAAGCACCCGCCGCGGTAGCGTTTGCACGCGAGGTTGGCGTCTTGCGAACAACATTTGACAACATCGACGAATTGGATACCATCAAAGCACACATGCCAGAAGCTCAGCTGTTACTTCGTATCTATGCAAATGACGAGGATGCTTTCATTTGTCTGGGCGAAAAGTTTGGCGCGCAGTTGGATACGACCGAGGAGCTACTTTCAAGAGCTTGGGAGCTTGGACTGAATGTGATTGGTGTTAGCTTTCATGTTGGTAAGCTCTTGGGTACTTCGGATTTCTTTTAGCTGGTCGGGTTTATTGACATTCCTATTAGGGACGGGTGCTACCAACCCAGCATCATTTTGCAAGGGCATCAAAGATGCACGTCTGGCGTTTTCACAAGCTGAACGTCTAGGTTTCCACCCCAAGATTCTCGATATCGGCGGCGGATTTCAAGACGATTGCTTCGAGTCTATGGGCCCTATTATTCGAGAGGCAATTCGGTCGGAATTCCCAGCTGGTATCACAACGATCGCAGAGCCAGGTCGGTTTTTCGCTCGTAGTGTGTATACTCTTGTATGTCGAGTGATTTCACGACGCCGTCAGCTTGGGAGTGCTGCTTTATCTGGTGTTCCAGACATGCTTTATCAAAACGATGGCATATATGGAAATTTTATGAATGTGATTATGGAGAAAGAGATCATGGTTCCTTATTTGGTCAGCAAGAAGACCAGGGGTTTCTTGAATAAACCAAAATCAGGGGAAAGCGAGAAGACAAACGATGCTGTTCAAGTACCAAGTCATCGATACTCGATCTGGGGACCTACATGTGATAGCACCGATTGTGTTGTGCGCGAGGTGGCGCTTGATTCTGAAGTCAAGATTGGAGATTGGCTCAAATACAAAAACATGGGAGGTGAGTACTGTCATTTTATATTTGGAATTTCAATAGAACTGACCGAGTCCTAGCATATACAAGTACTACTGCTACTCAGTTCAATGGCTTCAGCAGCACCTATGATACATTTTATGTCAACAGTGAAACATTGCCTGATTATTAGCCGTCGTTCTGGTATTTTCTTTTGACTTTACACGTTATAATTGACGGCCTTGGGCATGTTAACCGGGAAAAAATCAGGAAACATGGGGTTAGCAGGATTTGGATCGCTTACACGATCTCCTGAAAAATTCAAGTGTAAATTGATGAATAGCCTGCATTCATTCAGCATGAGCGCGCAGCCTCTTGCGTATATCTATACCGAAAACCATAATATCCATAACTATAATAGTAGGATGGCTGAGCCCATCCAAAATAAAACAATAATCGCACGCTTAAAAAAACAAACACCATAATTCCCAGGGGTTTTCCTATCACTCCAGATGGAATGAAGCTAGCAGAAAGGATATCAATCATGAGAAAAAGAAAAGAAGGCCTCAGAGGAGGAAGGGGGGGGGGAAGACATAAGAGAAATGCCGAGATAAGAGGCAAGAAGTGACAGAAATTGAAAATATGTGAAAGAGAGACGAGAGGCTGTTGGACGAGGTTATACCTTCTCCATCCCGGACATCGGGACGTCGTCCTGAATCGCATTCTCTGGGAGAGACTGCTTGATATCCATGCCATACGGTTGAGCGTCGGAAGCAGATTCGCCCTGCTTCTCTGGCATGTCGGATGAAGCTCCGTTCTCGGGTCGTTTCCGGCCGAGTCGCTCGCACCAGTGCTCAGCACTGACTAATGTGTCATTGACGACACCGCTGACCTGCGCCATCATATCTAAACCCTCTTGGGCAAGCACTAGAATGCGATGCGCACTGACTGTGGCATCCGAGGAGGCAGCTGCCGAGTCTGGTGGGGGCTGCGATGTGGACGCAACCTGGAAACGGTGCGGCAGAGACGTCAGGTGTCGACGCACTAGATGACGTGCATTTTCTGGCAGGGCGCCTCCTGCATACTTGGAAACCACATCCACTACCTGTTTCAAGGTCGATAGCACATCAGCCTTGACAGCTTGGATGCGCTGGATAAGCAATGAGGCATTGTCTTGGCCACTGCCTCCTGCCTCGATATCCGACTGTGATTGTGATTTGTGGGCTTCCCACTCGTTGACAGCACTATGTAGTGCTATAATAGATTTGCCTAATCGACCGTTTGCCCATCGAAGCCAAGTCAGGCAATATTGTAGACTTCGCAGCGATTCATCGCTCATGGCGACTCCAAGTCCGGAAGTTGAGATAACCAGTCGGCTTTGCCATGTCGCCTCATTACGTCTTCCTGGTTTCTCTTCGTAGTGAGGAGACCTTGTTTCGTCGTACGGGGGAAGCGATTCAGACATAGAGAGATCGGACGAGCTCCGTGTTCGCGGCGGGTGAGCTGAGCCATCCGGTCCCTTCTCCGCATTCATCGTTCTCGGTGACACATTCCCATCCATCTTTCGTCGCTTGCTGGCGTGTTTTGGGTCTTCGCTTGTAGAATCTCGTCGCTGCAGCGCCCAACGAAGACCGCTCTCGACACCAGTCTTGCGGCCTACTGTACCGACGGTGTTTGCGACAGGTGATCCAATATTGCGCTCGATGAACTCAGCACCGGACTTGAATCGCGGCGAGTACGATTTCGATGTGGCGTACGCAGAAACTGAGCCGTTGATAGCAGAGGAGATAAGGGGATGGGTGGAAGTCAGCAGAGACAACAGTGGCTCTGGCGGTGGTGGGTCCGGTGAAGTGATTGGAAGGGATTGTCGCGCTGTTCGAGGCGATTGTCCAAAATCTGATTAGATTAGTTAAATGTCCGTCGCATAGGCATCCCAATCCAGCGGACACCGCAGTTGCGACACTTTCAGTGGGCTGGTTCGGGATATCAGAGCCATATCACATACCGGAGCGAAGCCCCTCAAGGGCTTGCGCAGCTTCGAGATCATCCATCGATAATACACTGGCAGCTCGACGAGATCGATCTTCTTTATCAAGATCCATCACAGATGGATGGGCATTATGACAAGGCGCCGTAAGTGATGGGGCGAGGTTACTTGTAAGCGCGGAGGGGAACGAATTGGTCGAGGTCAGAGCTGTGGCGTTTACCCTTCCGGCAGGTAGTTTTGGCCTAGCGGTTTTTGGGGGTTCCATGGCGGGTCACAGATCCATAGAGAAAGAGATGAACCCCAAAGACGTCGGACTTTCGCATCGTATCGTCTTTCACGTGAAAAAGTGTCAGTGCCACTAGTCCCAATCAGGAAGGAAGGGAGTGAGGTAATCACATTCCCACGGTACCTGCTCGGCCATACATTCCGCTATGGCCGTCCATGTACCTTTTTCTCATCACATGTCAAATATCTGTCCCTCGCCCCAACAAACTACATTCAGTCGCCCCTCAGCTTCGATCTTACCGAAAATGATTATTTACCCTTTGATTCATGGAAAGTCTGAACCAATTGTGTTATGCGTACGATGTATGTTGTAGCGCACTCATCTACCGATAGGGCTTCTCAATACCCAGGCAATCCCTCCATCTGTATTCCACCCAAGTCCAAGGTATGTATACCTATCGCAACGCATCCTACATGTATTATACAAATAGGCAACACACTTGTCCTACGCCTACGGAGAAGTTTCCCTGATCCCGGAAAAAGGCACCATGAACCCCTCCTAGGTTCATCATTTCCCTACGTTTCCATTTTTATCATTGCCAATGTAACTCGACTAGTACCTCTGTGTGCATGTACCCCAACATGCGCTAGGATATGCTCGACAGGTCTAATACGAGAACGATTGTGATTGCTCTTCATCCCTGGCACATTTTCCCACGAGCCAGTGCAATTCTAGTTAGAAGGGTGTTCGGTTCGCTACGGAGTACGTCGGTTGCACCTCTTTTTTTCCTCCTCCGTACGTTGTACACATGTAATGTACTATGTAGATTGACATTGTCCCGGAAGACCTTGCTCCGTCCTATCACATGTCTACATGGAAGGTGCTTTATAGATCTTTGGCCTGCGATTCCCATTTGCCGCTCTGTATACCGGGTAAAAGAGGTACTTACAAGCCTGCTTTCTCTTCGCCAAGGGTATTAATGTATTTTAATACTTGGCACGGCACTCCGAAGATAGTCTTTCAGCTCTTTCAATTTATAGGCCCAATCTTATATTTGTTGGGCGTATGCTTCCTGTTTCGGCTCATTGAGATCGGCATGTGACGTGGGGGCATCCTAGCAGTTGACATTTGGGGACTAGGATGAACTTTCTCTCTTACAATATAGTGTTATTGCGGTTCACCGGTAGTTAATTTATGGCATTTAGGCAAAAGTCTGATATGATTTGCTGAAAGTACCTAAGCTTATGTTTAGTGACATCGATGGAAAGGTATCTATCAACTCTGACATACATGTATGTAAAACAACAAGGTATCTATCTCATGATATGTCCAACATTCATAGGCATCACAAGAAAATATCGCTCAAAATCATAATGATATCAAATGCAGGGTCGTGGGTGGCGTCACTCGTATCTCATTCGATGGACAATTTGTCCTCCAATCCATCCCTTCTAAAAGGATAGCATGGCTTCAATGGCTTCTCCGTCTTCATACTCTTCATATTCCTCTGCATCGTCAACCCCATCCACAGGCAATTCATTGGCCGTGAGATGTGCCACCATTTTCTGATTCACTCGGTAGCAGGCGATCACTTCATTAGTCACAAGGCGAGATGGCGAGACAGACGCCTTGATCTCGCACAATGTCTCCCCAAAGGCGTGGAGAATAAACCGAGAGTTCGGACATCGACGGTAGCCATACGAAGCTATCAACCGTCGCCACTCATTGCGGCTGTTTTGCCAAGTATGGATGAGCGGATGATTGCCCGAGCTGGGAGGAGCGAGTGCACCCGCATTCTCGGCAGCTTGACGTGATATGGCAGAGAAATCGTCGCCCGTAGAAGCAGGGTGTCCTTGGTTCCACTGCTTGTATAGATCCTCTATCGACTTTCGAACTTCAGCGAGTGTGTCTTTTAACTCTTGAGTGTGTTCAGAATTGCTCTTCGATGCTTCTTCGGCTTCACTCCATGGACGAATAAGATCATTGTCGAGCTGATTCTGGATATCGTTCTCGGGGAATGCCTCGTTGAGACCTGAGAGAATTCTGCGAAGCTCCGACCGTGCGACCTTAAACTTGAGGAAGTCGACAATGTTCGACGGGTTGTACTTGCGGTCTGTGTCCCGATACGCGGGAAGCGCACGTTGCCTAGGGCTGACGGTCTTGCGATATTCTTTCCAGGCTTGCTCTGAAAGGTGAACTCCACCTTTCCGACCATCCACAAGATGACCCAAGAGACAGGCCAGCTCTTTCGCTTTCGGAGAGTCGACTGACTCATCGTATGCCAGTTTCTCATGCTCAACGGTACATCGACCCAGGCTTGAAAGATTGAGGTTGAAAGCGAACACACTTTCCAAGAAGTGTTCTGTCGACTTCAGCGAGGCCATCGGGACGGAGTGCTTGCTGAGCCCGTAATGCTCTGCAGGATATTCATGGGCGGGCATTGGAGAATTGTGAAACTTCTCGACAATCATTGAATCCCAGCAAATCCACGGCGTGTCACCATCGTAATCTCCCCCAGATAGCATACCGGCTAGAGGAAAGTTTCCTGTAGTGGGAAAGACAATCACATCTTTAAAATGACGCAGTTTAGCCTTCCATACGGCTCTGCGCCGTTGAATATCAGACGGTAAATGGGCAGGAAGTCGGCCCACGAGAACATCTACTCCATCAAGGAGGTTGTCTTCAAAGTGGCCCTGTGGATCCCGACAATTATTGGAGAAGCCAAAGTGAACTTCATCCGGTCCGAGAACTCCATATGGATCCGCAATGCAGTACGCATAGGTTGAAAGAGGGACCTGAATTTTGAGCTCTTCGACATGTCGCTCAAGAAGCCATGTCAGATATTGGCGGATTTTCAACCGGAGCGGGAAAAAGTCGCGTGGGGCAAAGCCAGCCTCCGAGAAACGGATGATGGACTCAGCATCACTGGTCACCCACTGCTCCATTCGTCGTGCTTTGCCAGTTCCATCCTCACCGGAGGGTCTGAGCTTCTGAAGCAGGGCTCGACAAACCACGGGGCTATTTGATCGAAGAACCTCAAGGAAGTCGTCGTATAGACTCTGCACACCATCACGCGTGAGCTTGGCAATATACTCCTTCACGTTTCCTCCATGTTCCAGAATTGCAAGAAGTTGGATATCAAGGTCAACAGGGTGCAGTGGCTTAGCCCAGTTGACTACTTCAAACGTCAACTTTTCATCGTCAATCGGGTCAACCCATTCCTGTGGATGAGGGTGGATTTTCAACTGCGAGTCCGAGATCTGAATCCAGATATCATCTTCATTCATGGTAGCGATACTGGATTGGTGACAATCAACCATCCAGAGGCCCTTCGCGCCTGCTATTCTCCCCTGGAAGCAGCTAGGCGTTGCGGTGGTTATGCCCAGTTGGTCGCAAATTTGGTTGGCGAGAGTCCTCGATATCAGAGCACATCCGTCATTCATGACAGCCCGGGTTGGATCGTCTCTCAAACGAAGCACTTGCGTTGGCTTTACTGTAACCGTCGCAAATGTCTTCGACAAGCCGAGGGAGATACGTTGGAAGAGCTTGCAGTTGCTTTGATTGGCATTCGCAGTTTTGGGCATATGCCATTCTAGCAAAGTATCTACGCTCATCGGAGTATAGTTGTCACTTTGCTGTCGAGGAGGGGCCACCAGCGGTGGCAACCGCTGTCCATGATCAAAGTCGTTGCCATCAATGGCGAAGAGCTCGACACGAAAGCGAGGTTCACCCTTGGCCTTTCGCTTGGTTTTTACTTCTTCGACATAGAATGCTCGCCACGTCCGTCCGAGACAATGATGATCATTCCGTGTGAGCCAGGAAGCAACACTCTCGCGAAAGACAGATGGATAGGAAGGTTGTTTCTGATGGCTGGGAGGCCGATCCGGGGCTGGAACAGTAAGAGTCAAGAATCTATCCGATCCAAACCTTCGATGAAAGCGACATGTCCGCTCTGGCTTGAGCGGGTTGAGTTTCAATTTGAAAATACCCGGCTCAGACTCATCACACCAGTCCAAGTCTCCCGACAGCACCACCACCTCCGAGTGCTTATCTGATTTGAAATCACCAACAGCAGCATCCCAGGCCCGACGGGGCGATCTCTCTGGCAACGGCCGGTCATAACGTCGACCAAGCCCGCTGACCCATGACCAGAAATCATCTTGAGTGTTGAAGCTAACACGATCGCCGACGAGTATTTGCTTGAAGGGGATACCCCACGCACGTCCAATTCGTTCCAGCTCGTATCGGAATCGCAATGGAATTGTCGCCGAGAAGGATTCTTCTACCGAAAACGGGCCGTAGGAGAGGAGTTCATCAATGAACTCCTGTTTGAGAGAATACTTCGTTTCAACGGGGTCACCATTTACCATCATGGAGATAGCAGCAGCGTCTACGCTTCTTAGCATCTTTACGCTAGCCATGTACCCGACGACCGAGTCTGCATACGTTGATTGGGTATCCATTGGCTCGGTCATGTCTGTCATGACCGAATCGAATGATTGCCCCATGCTAGCATCGCGAGACATAAAGAGTGACGAAGTGACCGTCGTCGGAAAGCTGGCATTGAATGACTGAGTCATACTAGTCATACTATTGCGCTTGGATTCATCGGATGCCGCGCTAAGCTTCTCAAATAAAGTAGGCTTCTTGAACTCAACATCTTCCTGGGCAGGAGAGGTTTCTTTGCCGGGGCTGTTGCCAAAGCCAAACGATCGAAGATCCATCTGTCTCAACGGCGATTGGGAGGGTGATCTGACCGATTTGGGGGGTTTGGATGACGATTGGACAGATACAGGGTTCCTCGCGGGTGATTGGGCGACCCCTGAATTCTTCGCTGGCAACGAAGTGCTCGTCGAGCTCCTTGTCGAAGGGAGAATATTGCCTTGAGGCTTAGGTGGTTGTTTAGCGACCACTTTCCTAGGGATTGATTGGTTGAACCCTTGGTCCTGTGCTGGTTGTGGCTTTGCTGGCGGAGGAAACGTCGCCGAATACTTCGCCGGCGAACGGACGGCCTCTTGGTTCTTTTCAGACGACTGAATGGGTCCATCGCTTCTTCCGGTTGATGGGCGAACTTGACTTTTTGCTGGCGGCGCAATTGCTACCGACCCCGGCGTAGGAGACTGAATCGCCCGATGGCTATTGACTGGCAAGCTCGTAGCCCCAGAACTCCTTCGAGACCCTCGAAAGGCTGCTTGTACCATCTCGGGAAATTGCAACCCTCCATCCCCATTCTTCCCCAAAGGGGACTGAGCCAACACAGAACCCTTCACTGGGGAATTTGGTGCGGTGTGGAAGTTTTCGTTTTCGTCTTCATCTTCATCATCAAACCTTTGTCTCTTTGGTGATAAGACCTTGGCATCCCCAAAAGAATGAGCAGCTAACCTTTTCTTCGTGTTTGCAACACGACCATTCGCCAAAAGATATTCTTCATCCTCCATGAGGTTCAACAGGTGTTTCATGCACATATCCTTCTCAGGGCCGGTGAGCGAGAGCGGGACCTCGGGTTCCTCGCTCTGGTGCCGTTGGTTTGCCCGGCGGGCTGCATTGGTTCGATAGACAGGGTTCTGGGCTTGGATCTGGCCGGCCGACGGCAGGTTCCCGCGGACCCATTCCTCGAGGTTGTTAATCAGACTTCTCTTGTCGACCTTGTTATTGAAGAAAAGTGGGCGAATATGCTTGTAGATCTGACTAGGGAGGCTGGTGTTTCTCGCTCGAGCAGAAGGGGACTCAATTCCAGGGAGGGGAATCTCGAGACCAAATTTGATGTTCACTTTTGTAATAAAAGTGCGGAAATCATCTTTTTGATGTTTTGGGGTAGTGGGATGCTCCATATTCATCTCAAGAGAACAGGAGCTCCCATTCATTCAGGGAATGCAATTGATATCTTTTGTGAGGGAGAAAAACGAAAGGTTCGACTCCGTCTGGGGATTCTTCGTTAGTCTTATGCGAAGGCATTGGTGAGGGTAAACAAACAGATGCATTGGGATTTCCTAAGATAGGAATTCAGGGTATGAGTTTCTTAAATCGAAATGACTTCTTCCGTTTGACTCGTCAACATTGGCAGTTCTCTACTACTCATATAGGCAGTAATTCTACGGGTGGTTGCTGTGCAAAAGTCCTGAATCTGTTTACCCGCGCCAACTTCGGGTAGATGCTATTAGCGTCCACCACTTGACGTGTCACTGTGACAACTGTACAATCTTTAGTTTCTAGAGAGTCTACTAATTGTGAGGTGCATGTTGTCTAGAACATAGTGGAAGTTGAAGCTGGAGTACCTATATTGTAAAGGTAGGTATAATATACAGAATAGACAAAAAGTAGTGGACGATAATTGCTTTTTTTCCCTGTTGTCCTTGACCCCACCAAGGTCGATTCCTAATTCTTCGTGGCCAAGGACCAGAATGAGTCATGGACTAACGGCTGCCATCACACTCGGGTTCGTTCAGTTGAGTGCCCCCTCTCATTGCCCAGGTCAATCTTATCTGTCCATAGATCAGCCTCTTTGGGATCAACGCGTTTACTGTGGACGGCAAGCTTATAGCCAACCATCAAGGCGACGTAGAGAGGAATGCTGATGTACGAGGCAATGAAGGATTTGACGTCAAATTTCCGAACTCCTGAATCAAAGCCGAAGGAGTCAAAGACAATGGCAACAGAGATGAACAAACAGAGAACGAGAGCCAAACAAGTCCCAGCCAGACCGAAACGAGCTCTGAAAGCTAGAGCTTTGTCGGGAATGCCTTGAGCGTTTCGTGCTCGCACAAAAGACATGTGGGTGACGAGAATGGAAATCCAGGTGAGCAGCCCGAGCATTGTGACCATGTCCACAAAGTATCCGAAGACAACAGTTGAGTCTTGGTGGACGTTGAGATATGCCAACGTTGCAGTTGAGGAGCACACAGCCAAAGCATAGATCGGGACACCTCTCCTGGTAGTGCGTGATAGGAAAGCAGGGGCACGGTGCTTCACTGCGAGGTCGCACATTGCCTTGGTTGCCAGATAAAGGTCGTAGTTTGCTATTGACAGGACGAACAACAGTATGCATGCATTCAACAAGTCCGGTAGCACCGCGATGCCTGCCAAATACAGAGCTGCGACAAATGCCGATGCGGCAGCCTCGTGGGAGGACGGGCTAGAAAAGGCCACAGACGCCGACCCCTGGGGGACAATCATCCCAAGAAGAGTGATTGCTAGAAGATGGAAAACCATGATCCGATAAAAGGTATTCTGGATAGCCCTCGAAGTAGCCTTTCGAACATTCGGGAAGTGAGCCATACCAGATCGCTCGCTTCCGATGTACGCAAACGTGGCAGATGACATCGTCGAGCAGGTTATGTAGAACTTTTCTAGCAACCCGTGATCACGATGGGGGTGAGCGCCGAAAGCACCGGGATACGACCAATATCGAAACCCCTTTAGGTCTTGATCCGGCCCCCCTCCCAGAGCAATGACGGTGGAAAGTATCATGAGCCCAAGCATGACGACAAGCTTGAATGAAGAAACATAGAACTCAATTCTGCTCGGGAGGCGGTGATTGATGAAGTTGAGAATCACAATGACCGAAAGGAAAACCGTGATCCAGATACCAGGATTGACTCGCTCAGCATCCACCCAATAAGAGACTACCAGCGCTGCAGCTGTGAGCTGGTTCGGTGTGACAACAGCATATTTCAGCCAAAATCTGAGGACGCGGTCAGGAAATAGACCAAATTAGATGTAGCTCTCTTCACGAAGGGGAACTTACATCCACCCCAAGCTAAATCCAAGTGCAGGATGACAAAATCGAACGGCTTGATCTGCAACGGTATACGGTTTGGGTAACCATGAACCCACCTCACCCAATGCAGAGAGGACGAGGTAAACTGCGAATCCGACGATGGTATAGGAGATTATTATAGCTGCCGGCTATAATAGATCAGTATCTTCGCCCGTGAGATTCCTAGGGAATGACTTACGCCGCTCCTATGTTGGAGTCAACGTCGTTCAGCACCTGGTCATTGAAGACATCCGGTTGGTATGAGGAACGGATCTTACATGGACAATGCTCTTCCGGTACCAACCATCAAGCCCGTTCCAATCGCCGATCCAATGGCTGCAACCTGTGTTAGAATGTAGGTCCCCGTACAAGGTGGATGGTACAGACTGATTATGCTGATTTGACGAGGTGTCAACGACCCGTATATATCGGTGAAGCCGAGGGCATGTTCACTCTGATGAGCTTCGGGGGCAGTTTGTAGGGTCGTTGGCCCAGGGCTGATGGGCCCGAGTTCACAGGCAGAGGACCGCGATCCCGGTCGGCGTCGCGGAAACATCTCCTATAGTATATTTTCAAAAAAAGATACGAATCTCTGGCTGTCGAGGTTAGGTAAAGCAAATGAGTTAGGTACCAAGAATGTGAATCAAAGATCAGAGATCGAGTGAACCGCCCAGGGGAGGGACCCGGGGAGCTTGGGATGGTTATGCAAATGCGAATATGGGAAAGAACGAGGCACAACTGGTGGGATCACAGATCATTGGGATATATTTTCTATATGCAGAAATCCCATTATGGGACAGTCGAGATAGAATGGCATAAACAAAAAAAATATAAAAGCATTTCCCATGCCAGCTCTAAGGATTGCCACCAAGCCCATCGAGGAGGCACCAAAAGTAGCCAACGTCTATCAAAAGGCCACAAAATCACAAACGCCCAAAAGGTCGACACCCCCAAAAAAAAGCACCAGTCGGTTGCATACTGAATTCCATGGCCCCGTCAAATGGGGTCAGAGGGGGAGAAGAGAGATATCATAAAAGTCTTTGTCAAATATTCCCAAATGGCAGCGGTTCGGAACCAGCGTTTGTGTCGAACAGTCGCTCCCTGGGTGAGGCGGAGGGGTAACGCGAGATACGTAAAAAAGGGTTTCCTATTCATCAATTCATCGCGACATGAGTGAGTCGCTCGACTCCGTGCGAGGGAAGATGCGCGTGTAGAGGGAGTCGCTGGACTCGGTACGCGGGAAGTGTCGTTGGTGCTTCCGTGAGATCACACGATCGGTGTAGACACCCTTGGCCGAGCCACGAATGACCGACTCGAGATATTCGCGGAAATCCGTGGGTTGGAATTCGGGATACAGATCCTGTGTGGTGTGGTAGCCGAGGTACTTGGCGTACTCGGGGTTGTTGTCGCCGCGGATTCCCCAAGAGAGCTGATATTCGGCCAGGTACCGGGGAATGAACTTGATCGGGTCGAAGGGGTAGGTTTCACTGGCTTGTCGGGCGGCCACAACTCTGCTGCAGATGGTTTCTTCGGGAATCTGTGCTCCGGAAAAAGAAAAATCGGTTAGCCACATTGACTCATTCCGAGGGAGTCTGTGCGACTTACGTAGTTGCGATCGACCTTCTCCTCGCTGAGTTCCTCCATGAGCTCGTAGATCTTGTTTTGCGACGAGACCAGGTTGTAGGCGAGGATCTTCTTGTTCAGAGTGCGGGGGTCGGAAATGATCATGGCCATGTAGCGACCGATGTCTCGCAAGTCGGTCAATGCGGTGGGCATGTTGCCATCGCCAATAATTTCATCGTTGCCGGACGTCATGGCGTAGTCGACGCGCCCGGAAGGGAGGCGGGGGTAGGCCAGCTGGTACCACCAGCCGACATCGACGATGGTGTAGGGAAGCCACAACTGACGGATCTGGTTGTAGACAATTTCTTTCTATGGATAGCAAAATTCTGGTCAGTCCACTGACCAAAAGTACCGTACCACATTCCACATACCTCGTCACGCAACCACATGATACCGCCCGGTGGGCAAACGGTGATGAAACCGCATGGAATGAATCGCTTCACCCCGGTCTTCTTAGCTGCCTTGGCGAGAGGGATCTGGTCCTGTTGTTCGGCAGGGCCGACACAGCTGATAACCACATCAATGCCAGCCAGCGCCTCGATGAGCTGCTCCTCTGGGGCCTTCAAGTCGCACTTCCGAACCTGGCATCCCCGATCCTCGAGGCGCGTGATAGCTGGTTTTTGGGCTGAGATAGGGCGAACAAGAGCGATAACCTCCTATTGAGGACAGAAACGAAACAATTAGTCTGGGGGGGTCAATTGATCGAAGCTGGGCTACATACAAAGTTACCGGTATCCAACAGTCCGTTGGCGATAGAACCTCCGGTTTCACCCGCTGCTCCGACCAGCAAGACCTTGGTAGTCATAATTATTCTGGATATTCAAGATGGTAGTAAGAGGTAAAAGGTAGGAAAGGGGGGAAGATCAAAGAGGTGGGAGAAGGAGAAGGGGATTGGGTAACAGGTTTAGGACCTGACGACGTTATAAATTCCCAAAGGCTCAACCCACTTTCTCATCCGCAGCAGTGGGTCGGTGGATGTTCGTTCCCCTCGTTTGAGGGGGGGTTTTTTTTTTTTCTTTTCTTTTCCTTGTCATATTATTTCTTACGTGCATACTAGTATATATTTCGATTTTCTGTTGGTTTTATATGTTATAAAATTCTAGTTTAATATAGTCTGGAAACCCTTCTCCTTCACGGGCCGGTGATTCGGGAAGCCTGAGTCGGCGAAGTTACGTCATACGGCTTCCCGGTCAAAGGAAAATGGGATAATAATGATGTGTGCGGTCAATATAAAACCCTTATATATTGAAATATGTCTTATATGTCTATCTCTTTCCCTGAGATTACGGACTGCCATATGACCCGAAAGTAGATCATACCCTTTATACCGTGCAGAATCTTGAGTAACGAATCCCGATCTACGTGGTCACAGCTTGGAGAGGTTTCAATGACGAAATGGCAAGGATTAGTCAGGATCAGGGTTTCATTGGTGGCGCAGCGCCTTTGAAATAAAAAAGAATGGGGCCTTGGGGAGGGCTTTGAGGCACCAATCATAGAGGATTCAGGAAGAATTCCACGGTTTCCTATATGTTGGATAGTAAGCCAACACATGGGCCCCGAACTAATTGCTTGTGACCTCCCAAGGCTGAGCCTTAGGGGGGTTGGTGATAACCTTGTAAGAGCCAAGGGCCAGCCACAACCGGGAGATCTGTGCCTGGCGTATTTCCCCTCCTTTTCTTCCAAGTCAATCCCTTACACATTTATTTTTTTCTTGATCTCTAGATTTGGTGGGGTAAGGTTGCTCAAGTTTGGGGATTCTTCCCAACGAAGTAACCAAAGGGGAAGATCTCAGCTCCCGTCAGGTCATCGCGGGGAATGCAGCATGGGAGGGTCTAAGCATAGTGATGTTCTGGGCCCGAAATCTTCTAGCCAATATCATCACGCCGAAGATTGATCGTCGTTATGGGCGGCTAGTGGAAAGTAATAATGAAAATGGGAATTGGAGCAAGGGCAAAGAGAATTTCATTCAATTCCCAAATCCCTTTTGGCTTACCAAATAATATGCATGCAGACCAACGCCTCATAGCAGATCGACCCCAGCTTGGGCTCAGGCTGCTTTCATTTCAGCCGTTGCTAAACCAGACTAGGTACGGAGTATGCCTTGACGTCTTCGATGCGACAGAGAGGATTTCATTGCTGCACGTGAGCATTGTGGTAGATTCACTTGGAGACGTCGGCATACCTTCTACAATAAGTCACTCTACCAGAATCATCCTTGTAATGTCTATTTTGCTATTCCGGTAATGAAACTAGCCATGATTCGATACTAGGGTTAGCAATAATTATTCGAGTGCTTCCTATGAATCTTTGGTGATATACACTCATTCGACGCTGACCCAACCTAACAATTGGTCTCTTTTCCTTTTCGACAGGAATCCAACCGTCTCATTTGGAGTGTCTTACTCATGCGACGGTACGCATGTACTATCAATTATTATCAGACTACTAGATTTCTTGCTAGCTTCACTTCACTTCTCGTAATGTCACATTTCCACCGCTCCTGATGTAGGGATATGCTGGGAGTCTTGGCGGAATTGACAAGGGCTAGTATATTTGGCTTTTATATGGGTAGACACAGACATGTCTCACCTCTCATTCCCATCTCTCATTTAGTTTCACCTCTCTCTTACTACTCTCTCGCTGTTCTCTCACTACTCTCTCTTTCTCTCGTTGATATCTTACGAGCGCAGATCATTGGTCTCCAAATCCATATATACATGTACACTTCATCATATTTATATGCAGTCCTATCCGTTTTATCAAAGTTTACTGGATAAAAAGATTACATATTTAGTGAGAATACTGGAGCCTCTTCAAACGTTTTTTTTTTAAAAAAAACTCAAATGGGTATAAATTGTACAATCAATCGTTCGCTCATCACAGATCTAAAGCGTCTAAACAGGCTTGATGCCTGGCACCTTGTTTCTTTGATATACGCATAATCTCCTTCTCTGTCAGATGCGGTTGACATGCCTCATACTTGTGAGTCCTGACATGCGTGCCCTTGAATGAAATTTTGACTGTCCGTTTCCTCTGCTTTTCTCTCTCATCTTTGATCTCCGCCCACCGGGCCTCCACTTCGGCAAGGTGATTCTCTCGTTTTCTTTCCCCCATCCGCCATGCCGCGATCTGGTGGCCGATAGAATTGCTCGGCTCATGCATCCATCCCACGCCCCAGTCGGGATATTCGGGAAATGCTATCTCATCTGAGACGGCGTTCTCCCACTCCCAGTGCTTCAACTCCCTGATATCATCCTTCGAGCGGCATAGATTCAGGACACTTCGGGGGGCGAGGTAGTGTTGGCGGATATGGAAGTCCACTTGGTAGTGGGCGAAAAGAACGGTGGCTTCATCCACTAACTTGCCTGACTCGGCCTCGGCCTTCTTGAGAATGGCATCAATTTTGGCGTAGTAATGTTGTTGTTGGGAAGGGGTAATATCGTCCCACATTGTGACGTTGTTATTTTGGAAAGCCAGGGGGTTTGTGTCGAAGGGAGATATGTTTTCATCTGGTGCGCTTTCGGTGATGAAGAAAGGTGGGTATTCCGATGTGATGTATGATCCTGCAGCAATGTCTGCATTTAACATGTATGGAATAATGTGCAGATGGCTGCATTGGGTGCATTCGAGGGCTTCCTGTAGAGCGGCGTTATGCGGTGACTTGGATTTATTAGCAAAGGGACCGCATAGGAGCTCTTTACCAGGGCAGCACTGTACAATCTTTTCTTTGACAGCCTCTGTCCAGTCTCTCCTTGGCACACATTTGCGCTTGGTAACGTGATTCTTATCTCCTGCTGTCGGAATTCCCATGGTGGATGGTTGCATGAGTACACACATGGTATGGTTGAAGGGATGGTTGGAATAAGGTATATGCAAAGACTTTTGATCTGATTGAGAGATTGGAATGATGGGAGAGAATAATGATGCAGTTTGGCGTGCACTTATACAATGCATGAAAGGCCTTTGTGTCAACGTCGTGGACAAAGGAAGAGAGAAAAAAATAGAGTCCATGATTTTAAGTTAGATCAAGAAGAACAAAAGATCCTTTGTTTCAAACCTATTAATTCGAGTCGAACAAAGAAAGTGGATCAGAGAAACAATGAATAGTGAATGCACTGTACAATAGGATGCTTCAATGTTATATATCCTATTTTTGACACGTCCATGGAAGAAATATAGCATCGAGCCAACTGTTGCAGAAGTGTCAAAATAGCTTCAATAAATATAACCCCTTTGTTCATGACGCGTGGGCGTAAAAGGTCATATGGAGAAGGTAATTAAGCTCGGAGCGGCGTGACCAGAGACCGTGAATGAGCATCGTGACTCTAGGAGATCATCGGGTCGAGCCCAGAATACTTGTGAAAACTAGGGTTTCCCTATGAGGATTCTGCAATTCAAGTTGGCTATCTGTCGATGTTAGTAGCTAACGGACTTGCTAAAATATTGTCCTTAGATACATTGATATCAGTTTATATAGGTGATTATTAGGTGTAGTGAAAATGGTCAAATTTGTGCTGTTGAACGACTCTAGAAACTTTTCGCAAGTTTGAAATACTGCAATTCCATCAGAGTATTGTTGAACAATTTAAAATAGTTGCTTAATGTCGGTCTGTGGTCTGCTTCGTGTTGCTTCTTCTCTTTCTCCTGCCTAAACCCGCAGATGCACTTTTCATCTTCAACATCGCCCATTCACTCTTAACAACTATCTGCAATCAGCAAATCACCATGCCAGAAGCTTCTCTAGCCTTCCCGGCAATCTGCCTGACCTTCTCATTCCTCTTCGTTGTTGCTGTCCACAATGCTTCGATTTTGCAGCACCTCGGCGCCTTCCATCATCGCATCCTCCTCCCCGCATATCAACAGATGCAGCGCATGCTCACCAACCGTAATCCCACCAGCCAGACCCGGCCAAACCGTATGCACGAGGCAATGTATAAGCCAATCAACCTCGAAACAAAAGATGAAGAAGAACAACCTCCACACCTTGCGACTTCATCAATACCATCACCCGACTACCATCGATATAGTCAGAACTCTACTCTCGACACAGTCAATATGTTCCCGGAAAGGGATAACACAACCGGAATCGACGGTATCAACATGACGGCCAGATATGCAGGAGGCCCGTACCGTCCACGACGTCGGCTCACCTATGCGGATATCGCCGAGTTCTCCAACTACAGCCCACCCCCAAGTCCTCCTGGAGACAGAACATCCTCCGATGAGTATGACTCTGACTGGTCCAACTCCGCCGTCGACGAGGCGGTTTTCGAGCCACGTATACTAGGCGACGATATCCCCGTCTGGGAATTCGAAGTCGAGCGTCCCATTTATATCCTTGATCAGCGCGAACAGAGGGGACCGGCGGCTTGGTTGGATGAGGTTGTTGAGTGGACTGCGCAGGGCGTTTTTGCCGTTGTTGCCCCCGAGATGGTCCGACAACGGGGGTGAGCAGCATGGGACGTTGGGGGAATAGATATGGCATTTATGGGCTTGGCAGAATGTCCGAGCACCTGATGAGCCGGGCGATGTATACCTACTTGCAAGGTTCCTATCTCGTTATTTCAATCTTCCATTCCACCTAGTAATGTATTCATGTTGCTGGTTGTCTCTTAGGTTGAGTGCTGATCAAAGCAGCCGGTCGACTCGGTCACGTCAGTATATGATCCTCGTCACGCGGTAGAACACATTCCATATGTCATTGGCGGGGCTTATCAACACTAAAGCGCCACGCAAGGGATTGAGCCATTTCTTCCTAGGATACCAGGGTCTGAAGATCCAAGTCCTACAAGGTTGGGACGGTCTCATACATAAGAGTCATTCGGCAATCGCGCACAAGTTGAAATTTGGCTGGTCGTGCCGGTGATGCTTCCGTCGGGTTCTGACATGGGTGTGTTTTGGGCACCATTTTACTATGCAAGTCATTCTGGGCATGCCTAATGAGCGGGGGAATATGTTGCAAATATAATATTTCGATTCAGACTCGACCATCTAATCTGTTTTTATCGTTACGGTCGTCTATCGTCACGTTTAAATTAAAATCGCGGACATCAATATCTCCGAACTTTACGCTCTAACCCAAAAATCCCGATATTTTAATACGTTATGAAGGGGAATTTAGGGGGCGCAGTAGCCACCGTCGACGATGAGATCGGCACCGGTAGTGTAGGTGGAGGCATCGGAAGCAAGGTAGAGATAAGCACCCTTCAGCTCGTGGGCTTGGCCCTCACGGCCCATGGGGATCTTGTCGCGCCAGATATTCTTGGTTTCCTCGGGCACAAAGCTGGAGATTTCAGTCGCAATGTAGCCGGGGGATACGGTGTTGGCGCGAGCGTAGCGGACCCATTCGACAGAAAGCGACTTGCCTGAGAAGGTGTTAGCAGGACGATGGACCTGATGGGTTCTGAATGACAACTCACAAAGATGAATAACGGCAACCTTAGCGGCGTTGTAGGCAGCCTGCATCTGGGGAAAGTTGACAATGTGACCGCTCATAGAGGCAGTAGCAACGAAGCTTCCGTATGTAAAGTTGGTGAGCTTGTTTCCGTTGGCATCGGTGCCCTCCTCCTTCTGGCGGCGCCAGTGCTTAGCGGCAGCCTTGGCACAGTAGAAGGTACCGTCAAGATCAATGGCGACGACATCACGGTAATGGTCAAGGGGACCGTCGACCATGGGGCCCTGGGTCCAGGGAACACCAGCGTTGGCAATAAAAACATCGAGACGGCCATTGAAGTCCTTGACGACGTCGTTTACGGCCTTTTCGACAGCCTTTGCATCGGTGACTTGAACCTGATAAGCCTTGGCTGCAAAAGAGATTAGAATGATATGGAACCAATCACATTGCGTAGATTCATTACGCACCCTGAACACCATATTGTTCAGCGATCTCGGCAGCCCTCTCGGTACACTTAGCATTGCTATTATACCACATGGCCACATTGGCACCAGCCTCGGCCAGACCCTGAGCAACTGCCAGACCGATACCGGCGCCAGCACCGGTAACAATGGCAGTCTTTCCCTTGAGGGAGAACATGCTCATGAGACTGGGGTGCTCAGGAGCAGTGGTATTGTTGTGGACAAAGAGTCCATTTTTGGTAATAGGGTTAGCAGCCATTGTAAGGGAGAGTAAAGAGAAAATGACAGAAGATTAAAGGCAAGTTTGAGCGGGCAATCACTTAAATATAGAGCTGAGGGGCAATTCTAGGAATCCCAAGGTGATAGACGGTGAGTGATGCGCTGGCGGGGAAATCGGATTAGGCCATAGCATTTCCCTATGTACGGAGTATAGACCTTGGTGGGGAGCTCTTGCATGCATTGATGGCATTGGATGGCGCTTTGCGTCCCAGGATTATTTTGAGGGAATGAGATCCATCACAATTTTGTATCAGATAAACCTGTTCCAAAAAAGTCAGAGTAGGAATTGAAAGAGAGGGTATTCGAACTGTAAAGAGCAAAGCTCTTCCAGCCTAATACTGACCTGACCGCTCTTCTAGGAAATGTCCAAGGATACCGAGATCCCAGGAAACTTGACCCTAAGAGGACGACATCCATCTCGAATCCCGCAGAAGAGAGTGCAGATGCTTGAACTAACTTTTCATAAGGGAGAATGACTGGAAATAATATAGATTCGATGTTCCGCTATTAGTGGCATCCAACTGACTCGAAAATCACGCGCTCAAGGGATACTTATCCTGGGCAATGCTTATCACTCTACGATCCAACGCAAACTCCGCATCTGTGTATTAAGTATACTACTCAATATTCCTGAAGCAAGACAGCCACTTAGTCGGAATTAAAGGATCAAAATTGATCACTTATCCGGACAAGAATCGGGTTGGTCAAGGACGCGCACTGATCTTGTTGATCGCTGGAGTATCGTCAAAGGCGGACCAGTGGAAAATCGACATTCATGATCGAACCACTTTCTTGGGTTTGTTAGCCATCCATCTAGTCATTAGAAGTATGTCCAAAGGGGAACCCTAGATTCCAGCGAACAAAGACGTCAAAGAAGACGTGAAATAGGGAACTTCAAATATGGCGTTGAGTTTCCTTTGAGGTATACACCGGGATCAATTAGGGCAGCACCCATTCCAGCCACCCGAGACTGGTTCTCGCACAATTCTATTCGATGAAGATTTCACCATTGAAACATGATCGAAGGGGGTAGTGTGGCCGCCAGCATTCTTCGTACCCGGATGGTGATGAATGAGCATTCCTCGGCTGGAATCAGTGTTCCCATAACAAATGGTGGTCCCTTGATGGAATGCTAGGAAATCTTGTTGTTTCTTATTCCTGTGAGACTTTATTGTGTTCCATGAGGATGAAGTTGCTAGCTCTGTGAAGCCTCACCGTTGCCGTTCTGATACATCGATAATTCGCAGCATCGCATGTTGAAAACCGACGCGCTACTCACGGATGGGGAATTCAGAAGACCATCTCCGCCAATTGTCTTTATACAGTCTCGGAATCAGCCCAGTGACACGCCAGCGAGGCGACCATGCTAGGGCTGACCGCCGTCATTGCCATAGCCGCGTGCGGCGCGGCCATCTTTATTGCTGTCTCGGTGGTCAGCATTATCGTTTGGGTCAGGTATCGCAAAGAGCGCCATGCAATAAGGCTGTTGGGCTTCACGCAGAGGCAGGGACGGCGCAATCGGGGATTGCAATCTTTCCCGGAGGACACTTTGACTGAACTGAGCCGGGCAGAAGGGAGCATACTGAGGGCGCATGGTCATCTTCCGTATGGTAAACCGACAGAATGGGGACATCTGACATCGAGTGAGAGTCTCCATCGCCGGAAAAACGACTCAGAATCATCTTTTCCGTTCACCGAGAAAGCACGATCTCTCCGCAATTCGCTTTCTCGATCTCGTTCCAAGCGCCTATCACGAGCATCTCACAAACGCGTGAGCTCGTTGGCTACGTTAGGGGAATTGAGTGAATCAATTCATCTTCCTAGTCCGCCACCTAAAGCGTCAATATCAATATCGAAAGCAGACGTCCCACTTTCGGCTGTTGAGGGGATTTTGGAATTACCAGCAGAAAGCACTCCAAGGCAAACACCAGAGCCTAATGAGGGTGATGCTGGGTTCCATCTAGGTATGAAGCCTGTTTCATCTGGATGGCCCCTTCCAGTGCGAGAGCGATCAAGTCAACTTCCTGTTTCGGATGACCGTAACTCATCTGGCCCGTTTGATTCAACCATGACCTTTGAAGAATCTCCTACTCGTCTTCGTGGGGGAAGTATTGCTAGTCAAACTGCAGGGATGATGCCTGGTCACTCGATACCTCCCCCTCCCCCAACTGCATATCCCCCAGACAGGTTTAGTTACGCTAGGAATGACTCTGTGATGAGACTTTCCTCCATGAGTCTCGATACTACCAACAGCTCAATATTGGATGACGGTAGAAATGGTTCGGCTGATACCGATCTGACCTCGCCCACCTTCCCCTCAGGCACATTTGTACCTTTCAGTGCCGCTGACGTTGGAGTCAAGGATGGACGGAGGAGTTTCATTGCAACCAACACCTCCATCCTGCCTATGCACAACTTCCCTGTCCGTTCCTCCTCGACCACTGAAAATCGTCAGAAATCTGCATCCTTGTCGCCTCGACGAAGTTTGACGACTCATCACTTGGGTACCTTTAGAGATCGTTTTACTGCTCCACGTCGATCTGATTCTATGGCTTCATCCAATTCCCCTTCAAGACATCCCTCCCAGTCTGGAACTTCGGTGGGGTATTGGGGATATCAAAATTCAGCCCCATCCGACTGGCGATCATCGGGCTCTCACATGCCCTATGTATCACATGTCAATCAATTCCAAAACAGTACGGGCTATCAGAATGACCTAATGGAGAATGACCCCTTCTACGTTGGCTCGCCTGGGGGTGGGACTCTGTTCCACCAGGTTAGATCGCCAGGTAAGGCAGCCACCACCATCAACCCACGAACCCCGATGCGACGTGACAGTCTCTCCCTAAAGGGCACTCTTCCCTCTGCACTCAAGGGTGGAAATTCAAAACGCAAGGGTCACCGACGTCAAAACTGTGTTCGCATTTCTATCCATCCACCTATGACGTTTGGGTCATCGACGTTCTCTCCTACCGTCGAAGAGGAACCAGAAGATTTCGACAAGATGGAGGAGGTGGATCTACGTGAGGTCTCAATCAACAACCCAACAAAATCCTTGCCTTCATTGCCACCAAGAACAACGTCCCCTCTGTCCTCTTCAAGACGCAGCAAGTACGGTAGTCGACATGGCAAGCCCGGTCTAGGTCTGAGCTCTCTTGGGCCACTAGTTGAGGAGCCGCAGCCCCCAATCTACGACGACAGTCCTTGCAAGAAGAAAAGCCGTGCTCCATCTGTCATGCCTAACAATAAGCTTCCATTCGAAAACAATCGCGCTCTCCCTGAATTGTTCACATCTCTGCCTTTGTCTCATGGCAGTCTCGCCCACACTCCCTCTCCCGAAAGAGTACCACCTGCATGGAGACTCTCTGACACTCCATTCGCATCCCACGAGAACTCCCCTGGTAGCCCACGACGCTCTGCGGTAAAAGGGCCTCGCAGCCAACCTGGCGTTACTGCAACTCGAAACCAGTCAACTCGCGCCCCGTCATCCTCTGATTATGCACAAGATAGTCCTTTAACTTCGCCTAGCCGCCTCCCCCTTGTCATGAGTATCACAGGAACAGAAGGCAGTGACTGGCGAAGATCCACCGAGTCACTACAACGGACGAAGACCGATGCTTCAAATCGCTCAATCAGCCGAGCTCGTGATTCAATGTCCAGCCTAGACAACGGGCTTGGTCCCATTGGCGGTGCTTCTGCGCTCTATGGTAACCGCCGCTCCGCAATGGTCCAAGATCGCGTCACTATCTTTGAGGATCCCATGCGGACCACCTCCCCTCATAAAACCTCTGTGCTGCCCCCAACTGGGTCGTTCCGCACGCCTGAATCCTCCCCCACCCGTGGCAAGAACAGTCGCCCCCGTTCCATGCCAAACAACCAACGATTACCGCCTCATATGTCGAGCCACCATGCACCACCAACTCCTACTTCTCCCCGCCGAGGGATGACTACTCCAACGGGCAAGGCGCTCGGAGTTGGAGTTGGAAATGCCACGCCTGCTAGTCTTTACGACGGCGATGGGTTCCTACGGGAATAAGGTTAATTTTGCGATGTCTTTTGTGGACTTTGAAAGCGACAGTTTTCTTTTGATTCGTTTTGATTCATTTTCATCGTGCATTGTATCTCATACTGATGTTGGCGTAAAAGCTCAGTATCCATTTCTTCTATCTGTTCTTATTTCATTACTTCTTCTTTTGCTTGTCGCTTGGTGGTCCATCTTTTTCTTTTGTTTCTATGTTTGATGTGTGTTTTCCAAGGTTGATATCCATGAAACGGAAAATCTTCAGCACGAAATCTAATCCTTCTCTACCTATGTTTCCTTGAAAAATAGCCCCAGCAAATAATCCATTGGTAGCTCTACCACGTAACCACTCGAATATTTTAAAACGCCAATCCTACACCGTGTATTTCATATTTTCCTTTCCCTTTAAAGCAGCCTAATCCCAAATCAATCCGTCTTCCGCCACTTGGTCTCGTCCTCATCTCCATTTTCTTCAACTCCATTCTCCCCCTCTCGAGCCCTAACAGTTCCAGCTCCAGGACCAAGCGGGAAAGAAGGCGGCTCACCCGCAGCAATCCAATTCCCATCCGCATCGAAGAACTGATCCATATTATCCGCAGTGATCCACCCAGAGCTCCCAGCAACAGGCGGGGGAAGATCACCATTTCCCAGCTGGAAGACTCCATCATGCTCCTCGGCCGAAATAAACTTAGGCCCGTCCTCCTCATCCTCATCGCCCTGCTCAACAGGGTCAGGGTGTAAGTTGGAGCACGCCGACACAGCATTGTAAAGCTGCTGCGTGGGTGTGTCCGTCTCCGAGTCAATGGGCTCTTGTAGCGTGGCGTCGGTGGGCAGCACCACTGTCATTGTGATGCATTCCTCTTCGTCGTCCTCAGAAGGCGCACCCGGGATCGCAACCTGCATATACAGGCCTTGAACTTCGGCATCGGTATCTGGGACGCGTAGCCGTTGGAGTGCGTGTAGTGAGATCGAGGGGTAGGGGATTGACACGCCTGTTGAGGCGGTGGGGGAGAAGAGGAAGAACTTGCTGTTGATTGATGAATTTCGTCAGTCGGTGCCTCTTGGGACGGGAAGGGGAATTGATAGACTTACTCGGATGTCACCCAACTATCCACGCCTGAGATTGCGACCTCCTTCTCGTCGCCGTCCTGCTGATCCTGGCTTGCGGCGCTGTTGTTGACAGCATCCTGGCCGCGCAGAGCATTGAGTGCTGGGGTGGCGAGGAGCTCGCGCTCAAGGATGACGATCTTGCAGCGCTGGCTGTGGTGGTACAGTACTGGGGGTCCGGAATAGAAGGAGCTTGGGGTGCGCGACTGGTGTTCGGCCAGCGGCACGAATGAGGAGATTTCAGGCGAGCTGCGAATAACCTCCATATTGTAGTATATGTGTGATTGGAAATAAAAAAGAAGGGTTGAATGATATGACAAGGGTGTCTGAAGTTGGGATGGAATGAAAATGAGCTTCCGGCGCGGGGTGGAGCTTTTCCGCGAGCTTGGGAGAGCCGCAGTTCTAAGAAATATATAATCGTGTACTTTTCTTGTTCTATTGTTATACTACGCCTGTAGCAATTTTAGAGATAGTATTATTTACAAGTATTGAGTTTTTGGTATACTATCTTTTAACATTCATTGCCCGTGACAGTGTATAGTATAAACCACATGGGCAGTATAAACCACATGGGCAGCGAGTCAACGATTGCGAACTCATTCACACCATTCACCCAACTCCCAGCATAACCTTGGAACATAGTCTTAGCGCTGAAAGTCAAAGCCCCACTGCCCCGATGGTATAGCGAAAAGTCGCAGACTCGGGAGATTATTGAACTGCTTTGACAAGGCCTCAGAAGAGCCCAGCGCTGGGAAGTCCTCCCGAAACATAGTGTATCCTTTAGGGGACACATTCCAGAGATGGATCCAATGTGCTGCTACATTGAGAATTTAATTCCCAGATACTCATATGACGTAAAGAGCAACGAGGAACTAGCTCTCTCGCAAGACCATCGTTCATCATTTCAAACCCAGACCACCGAACGCTCTATCCAACTCCTGCCCATCGTCATGCGGCACCATGGTCGGCAATTGCGAAGAGCCCTGTTCAGGAGAAGAGCTATCCAGGAGGCTTGGATGATCATCGCCCTGTGGGTCGGGAGACATACTGGTCCGGCTAGGCTGAAGGAGCTTTTCCTCGCGATCAAGCCACCCAGGAGCCAGGCGTCTCTTTTCGGCTAACTCGCGTTGTTTGATTGACTCTTTCCATGCGTTGATCGCTTGTTCCGCGTTGCTGCGAGCCTTATTCAAATGTTGTTCGAGGGAGTGGCACGCGGCGAGGACGTCATCTGGGTGAGCTGCGTGCTCACCGCTTGGGGAGACAACATAGCGGGCCTTACCATCCGGGCTGTTTGGATCGACTGTCACTGAGGGGGGTAGAGATGAGGGGACAGATTTGTATGTGTAGGGTAATGTGACGGAGGTGGGGAGGTTGATGAATGGTGAGACGGTCAGTGGGACCTGGGCGAGCAGAGGATGTGGCCCTAGACAATTGTTAGTTATTAGAAATTTATGAGCAAGATATCTAGGTAGCAATACTGACGATAGGAGTCGTACATGGTTGAGTCGAAGACGAGGCTGATCAAGTGCGGAGTAGCGGAGCAACGGAGATGGGGACATCACGGGAGAGGTACGGTACTCCGTAGTAAAGCTCAACTATTTACATAGTACACACTATCACGATGATCTACCAAGGATCAGATAAAAAATTATACCGTTTGTAGCTATGCGCCTTCCTCTCCTAAGCTAGTATGTTGTAGATAGAATTGGTAAATGTAGCAGAATGCATACAGATCAACACTAAAAAGTTGATCACAAGTCCAAGATTTCAAGATTCCAAATTTCTCTCCTTAGGCCCCGTCAAATACCAAAAGGCTTTGGATATTGACGCCAAACCCATGCTGGCGCAACAGTTGCCGACCACGATGAATAGGGAACTCACTGACGACCATGATGCTGACATCAGCAATGTCAACCTCCTTTAAAAGCTGTAGCACAGCGCAAAGTGTCTTTCCCGTGGCGAGCACATCGTCCACCACTACTACCGATGCACCTCTGGTGATCAAATCCCGTCCTATCTCGATACTCTTCTCATTTGACTTGGATGTCAAAGATATGTGAGATGTAGACTTCAGGACAGAAACGGTGGGTGGGGGCAGTTTGCCCGCTTCGCGAATCAGCGCCAAGGGTACATCGACCCGCGAGGCCAACGCCGACGCAAAGATAAACCCCCCAGTATCACAACATGCTATGGCGTTGACTTTGGCCCAGTCGCCCGTGAAGTGAGTCCGCAATAGAGAGGTGCATAGGGCCAGCCCACCCGGCTGCTGGGAGATGTTGAGGACGTGGCGGAAGTCTACGCCCGAGCGTGGAAAGTCCGGTACTGGACGCACCATGTTGGCAAGGCTCTGAAGATCTTCATCGAAGAAGGGAAGCAAGTGGGTTTTGGCAAGCCTTTTCGCCGCCTCGTTTCCATTCGCGTCATTGTTGAAGACGAGACTGGGGCGGTGGGCTACGTGCTTCAGTTTTGGCGTATCATCGTCACCTTTGTGGTACCCTCGGCGAGCACGCCGCGTCTCTTTGCTAGCTGTGACATTAATCTCGAGAAGTCTCCTGTCTGGCACCAAATGCGAGAAGGCCGCGACTGGTGCCTGATCTCTCATCCCCGTGATTAGCAACACATCCACTTCCCTGGCGCCGTATACCACATTTAAAAAATGTTCCTCTGGCAGCCAAGGTCGATCCCGCACCTGGTTCCGGAAGAAGGTCGTCAACGCTGGCCGATGCTTCTCTTTGTAAGCACGGTCCCCAAGTAGACGATTCAGGTCGACACCAGTAGCCGCGGCGTACTCTCGCTTGGTCGCATCGCTAATGCCGACTACGCGCGCTGTAAGGCTTTTATGAGTCAATTTGAGGAACACGGATATCCAGATGTTCGCGCAGTAGTCCTTTCCGGCGCCGCTTGCGCCCGTGACGAGAATGATGAGCTTCTGTTCCCTCGGCGTTATCGGGAGCGGACAGGCATAAGCCAACACATTATGGGGGTCCATGATGTGCTTGAGGCGAGCCAGGCGTGCCCGGTTCGGTCCAAAAGCCTTGGTCGCCAGCGCCGCGTCTCTGGGGTCCGGCCCTAGGTCTGCGCCGTACACTCCGCTACTCACGGGCAACAAGTCTCTAGCCACGTCGTACACCCACTGAACGGCAGCTCGAGCGGATCCAGATCTATCTTCGTCGCGGTACCAGTCGCCAGTTACCACGCAAGCAAAGTCCTAGTCTCGACAACCGAAAGCAGTTGCATCGGCCGCCACATCGCTGACAGATCCGCCACCTTGTAGCATATGGAGATAGGAAAGTTCCGAGGGTCGATTCTCAATGGCTGCCACAAAAATCTCGGCGATGTTCAATGCTCCAATGCGTTTGAAGAATAAGCATCGCTTGAATGAGGAGGTCTTCCTGTCAGCGTGCCCGCCGTGCATTCTGGACATGTACATCTCGGCTTCGAACAAACCGACGCCGTCCACAGTCTGAAAATTCTAATTCCGCCTGAAAATGGATAGCCCTGTCGTGGAAGCTTCGAACATGGTCACGCGAAGATGCAGCTTCTGCTCCTGGTTGTCCCAGTACATATACGCGTCTGAAGAACAGTTCTGGGGGATCCTGGCAACAAGCTTATCAAACTTGCTAAGCGTGCGCCGGGCCTCAATACTGTCCCTCGGCTCGATAACCCAGTTTCGAGTGAAGAAGGTCGGAGCCACGTTAGTCTTGAACGTAACGCTGACTACGATCCCAAAGTTGGCACCAGCGCCTTTTATCGCCCATAACATATCATTTTCGTTCTCTGGGCGCACGGCACCGGCAGGTCGATGTTGACTTGGCACACAGCCGATGTAAAGGGCCTGGCTAGAGTCGACACTGACTATCACGGCACCAATGATGGCATCGCACGCGAGCCCGTGCATCCTGGCTAGGTGCCCAATACCACCTTGTAGCCATAGCCCGGCCCCTACGCTTGGGCGAGCCCCTAAGGGCACTGTCAGTCCCCCTGCCATGGTCTTGCGGACAATATCCCCCGTCTTGCAGCCGGCCTCGGCAACGACCAAGGGAACAGAATTGGACCTAGATTCTCCTCCACCATCCACGTCCTTGAGAATGTCTATTTGCCCAAAGGCGCTCATATCGACCGCAACGACGTTGGAACGTAGGCAGTGGCCGCTATGACCCCCGCCAATGATGGTCAGGTTGACACCGTGCTTCAGAGCCCATTGAACGCACTGTTGAATGTGTCGGACCTCTGTCGGCCTAACAATCGAGGCGGGATGGTGAAGGCTAGCTTCTAAGTTCTTAACGCTTTTTGCACCCTCCAACAATGGCACCTGGGCAGTCAGTTCCGGCAACGTGGTCGCATGTTTGGTGAAGGCCGCCATGATGTCAGGCGATCTGAATAAGAGATGGTCTGGGTGGCCGTCCTCGTAACGGGCCAAGGTGCGGCACGCCTTACGCCATTCAACTCGGACCGCCTTGTCCGCCTCCACATCCTGCATGACAAACCCCGCGATAAAAGAAGCAAAAGAGTCCAATGCTTCGTCCTCATTCACCACGCTAACGGTCCCAGCAGGGAAAGAAGCTCTTCGATGACACACTAATTCTTCGAGGTGTAGGGTCTCGTCGCGATGAAAAACCACCACCATTCCCTCTTCGGAGCGCCGATCAAGCGTTTCCAGCGCTAGTTCAATAACACTGGATTTGGGCTTCATGCCATACAGGCTGTGACAGAATAGGACGACGTTGAACTTTCCATCACTATCACGCGTACCAGTACCAGTACCAGTACCAGTACCGCTCTTTGTGTTGCTGTCCAGTTGTAAAATGGAATTCGGCGGATATCAGGCGGACTTTCCAGTCCGGCAGCGGGGACTCCGTCTCTGATGTCGAAGAAAGCCATTTTGCCAACCTTGTAGCAAGCAGCTCATTGGGCTCGAATGCAACATATTTCCTGATTTTCCGCCTCAAACGAGTGGGTAGATATCCTAGCACGGTCTCCGGCCCGGGTCCGATTTCTAACACCGAGATATGGATACCCGAGTCGAAGAGAGGAGCTAGCAGCTGAGAAAGTTGGGGGATAATAAAGTCTTGGTACGTCATCCATCCCGATCCCCGCAGCAAGACATCCAAGCCAGCGCTGTACTTTATGTCTGACAATGGCTGCGTCGGGGATGATGGCGAGGCTTTTAGCTTCAGAGTCCACTTGAGGGAGTTGAGAGTGGCCATGGCAGTTCAACATTAAAAATGACGAGAATGATGGGTTTGAGCTTCACGATGATGTGTTTTTGGCTACGTGCAAACTAATTTGTAGCTGGCGGCAGCTCGCAGCTGTGCAAATCCACTTGTGGCTAGGTGCAGGTTGATGCCAAATTAGGTAAATTGCTATCTCAAAGCCTTTGTCCCTCCAATAGCATCAGGCGCAGGACTAGTTATCTTGGTACCTATAGGTTGATCGCCACCAATCTTTTGCTCAAGATCATGTGCTGTATTTGACTCTCCATCTGGGGTCTCACCAGCTGCTGTGGCTTCAATGTTGAATGCAGCATTATTTCCCAACACTTTCAATGTGTTATAGCTTGGCAACTGTGGTCATAGGCAGTTTTGGTAACTATGTACAAAGAACCTGCACTTTCTTGAGAATGTCTTAGACCAAAATCAATAGCTAACTCAAACAAAGGCCACAAAACAGTCAAGATTGACCCCGTTAACCTCAGTTCCATGGCACAACAAACAATGTTCTAGTAATGGTATATAATGTTGATTCAAGTCTGATATTCTCTATTCTTTTGCCACGAAGGCACTATGAGCGTGATATACGAGATATCATAATGAGCCCTTGTCTATCTGAGTACTTCGGCGAGGTCCGATCTTTCGGAACAAGATGCTCATCACCATTTGCAATGAGAGCTTCAACAAGAGTCGACTTTCCAGCGTGGATAAACCCAAGACGCTGGTACAATTCCACCGTAACATTGTTCCCCGCCTTGACAATGAGACGCACTTGAACTTGAAGAGGAGATGACCGGTATGATCGAAGATAATTGACAGCCTCCTGGCAAAGTTTGCTTCCAAGTCCATGGCCACGATACTCCGAAAGTGTAAACAAGCTTAGCATCTGCCATCGCTCTTCCTCTTCATCGGACATTTGGGGTGGTTGGCCAGCTTCCGCAGGTAACTCGAAATCAGCCTTGGATGAAGGTCCTCGCAGAGTGACCTGGCTGATCCATTCGATGCCATCGGGAGATGACGAATCATGGTTAAGGGGTGTTGCGGCACAGATGAAGAGCTCTCGATCGGGAAATGTGAGACGATCTATCCAATCGGCATCGGTGAACGCCGATTCGATCTCATAAGTAGATGAGAAAGAATCAGGTGAAGACTTCAATGCTTTTAGGCGTAGGTCACGATATTTTTGAGCGGAGGCCTCGACTTCATCTGTCTTTGAGACCCGGAAGAAGGAGTAGGTATAGTTGGATGCCATGGATAGGACTGAGAGAAGGTAAGGCGTGTATCAGATCAGGTAATAGCACCCATTGATTTTTTTTTATCTACAATTTTATGACTCAAAAGCAAGCTACGGCCAACTTGAAATTGACCGACGGACGTACTAGTTTATTCAGCGACATTTGTTTTGAGAATACCGGCCAGCGGTAGACATACCTAAATTAGTTTAGCGGATCTCCGAGTCCTCATATCCTTATGAACAACCCCATATACAGCAAAAGTCTTAACACCCCAAGTTCTGCTGGCTAAATACGCACCAATAAAAACTGAAGCCATAACGGGCGGTATAACAAATTAAGAAGGCGGTATATTTTATTGGGAAGGCGGTAGCAGAAGGAGTGACTGTATGTTTCCTACCGCCTTCCCTATCCGTCACAGTACCCGTTCAAAATCTACCAATAAATAACACGTGACTTGGCGTCACCTTGGTCCACGAAAATTTCCACTCATCCTCCTCACCCAACCCACTCACAATCTTCCACGCTCCACAAGGCCGTGAACCGTTTCTCCAGGCGAGCCACTTAACAAACAATAATGTCATCTGATAACGGAGGTAAGAATGCCTAGCCCTAGCCCCAATGATCTATTGAACTAACAATTGTTGTACATAGCTTGGCCTATGGCCGATGAAGTCCTGGCCCAGGAACTTCTCGACATCTTGCAGCAGGGTACACACTACCGCCAAGTCAAGAAGGGAGCCAACGAAGGTGAGTTGAAAGACGTGTTCCTTAGGTGGAATTTTCTAACGAAATTTTTCTAGCCACCAAGTCTGTGAACCGCGGTGTGTCTGAGCTTATCATCATGGCTGGTGATACTTCCCCCCTCGCAATCGTGATGCACCTCCCCCTCCTTTGCGAGGACAAGAACGTTCCCTATGTTTTCGTCCCGAGTAAGATGGCACTCGGACGCGCATGTGGTGTCGGCCGGCCTATTATTGCTGCCAGCATCAACACCAACGATGCTAGTGAACTGGCTGCCCAAATCCGCCAAATCAAGATGAAGGTGGAGAGACTTGCTATTTAATTTGATATCAATGCTATCTTGGGTGGGAAATAGGTATTGCTTCGACTTCTTGGTCAAGCTCGTCAGTCTTACAAAAATACATGGACCCCGTATCTTATATTCCCCTTCACTCCTTCTATGCTTGATATTTCACAATTCTGATGAGTTGCTCCGCCGAGTAATTCGTGCAATAATCCGAGGGGACCCAGGTACCATCCAATATGGTCCTAGCCACTTGGTGCTTTTAATCTGTATATATCTGAGCACCGCAGTAATTCAGGTATTTTAACTTTTTGCTTAAAATCAGGTGTAGTTGGGAGGCCATGGATAGGAGAGGTACTGTATTTTGATCAGAGAGTAGCACATTGATTATTTATCTACGGAGTATATTCTTATGACTTAGAGCAAGCTACGGCTAACTTGAAATTGGCCGACATTGCTTACCGGGAACTGACCCACTGTTTTAGCCGTGACGTATTTATGATTGGTCAATATTGCCTGGTAGACACTGCTAAGGTTCCTATTTGTACCACAGGCGAATTGGTTTAGTAAAGCTAAAACCGACTTCTACTCATGCAACTAACCTGGAAACCGATGTGTTCCGGTTTACATTCTAACAGATTGTGGTGATGTGAGAGTATTAACGTGTTCTTTTATCGAGAATGGCTCTCTCGATTTGTATACGACTCTTTAGGAAACTCTGGTAGGATGTAATATGTAATAGTAGCTATTTGTATACACACACGGCTAATATTAGACATGTATTGCTATATCTTCGTTGAGTTACTGTGCTAGTGCATTTGCCACGTAGATAAGACATGCGAAATTATATCGACTGGACTCGTTATGAGACCGTATAAGGAGTAAAGGTGCACAAAGATGAAGGTTACAAATAAGGGGAGCAAGGGATATTTCATTATATTACAAACTACACCTGACACTTGTAAAAAAAAAAAGTACCCTTTCCATGGCCTCTGAAGTCGTCAAGCTCCTAGTCACGAACTGGTGAACTTATTCGCAGCTTGATTGGATTGTTATTGTATACATATGAGGTGATAACCATGACCTCAATATTCAAATTGCTAATGTGAAATCTTCAAATCATATTAACATATTGTCCAAAATGTGAACAGAGTATTACAAGCAACATGGACCTCGTATATATATGTATCTCGATCTCATGATGCTAAATTGGCAGCCCGAATTCAATCCCTACCCAGGTGAAGATTGCAAAGACAGAAAAGAACAGGATAACCACCCAAGCTTGGAATATGGGATTCTCAAAAAAGCTGTCTTCAAGTTGATCAAGCTTGTCTTGCCACTTTTCTTCTGCCGTCAAAACCCGAGCATCACTACTTAATACTCGATAAGTAGCATCAGTGCGTGGTGTCCAGCTCAATTCTATTTGCGTTCGAGCCTATAATATAGGGTTAGTAGTGTGTTATTGGACTATAAGTAGCTTGTTGAGCATTCTTGTTCAATGATAAGACGGGCTTACAAGGTGTGATGCTCGCGATGGTATTGTCCATGATCTTCCAAGTTCATTCGGATTGGAAACAACAGCAAGCTCATAGTACTCTCGATTGTGACCTGCAATAGTATGGCTAGACGAAGGTCTCTGTTCAGTGCTATGATTGCTTCCTATAGAAGGAGCATCGTTACTTCCTGATCAAAAAAGTCAGTCTAGTCAATGCTATCGCTGCGGCCAAGTTGGGAACAGCATAGTACATACGCCAAAGTTCATCCATGAATTGGGATAGTGGGATCACCAATAAAAGGACAGGAAGGACTTGACCGAACCCCCATTCGCTCTCGTCGCCCTGGCGCCCCTGGTAGGCTGCCTCTGCTCGTGTAAACATCATATCATTTGTAGCACGTATCACCGTCACGTACATCACCAGGAGACTAAAAGTTTCCGATCGCAAAAAGTGCCGACACGGGATGATTATGAACAATATGATGGTCCAAAATATCTTTTTTCGGGCAGACTGGTTCGGGCTCTGTGCTCGCAGCAAATAGCGAAACGGCCATGAGAATAACCAGAATATAAAACGTTCCAGCTGAATAAAAAGGGAAAAATTGAGTAGGTCCGGAAATAAGGATACAGTGATCCAGCAGAAAGACCAGAACAACGTGAAACATTCAAATGCTGCGAAAACTGTACTTTTGGTATCCCAACCTTCAGTTATCTTGTCTAGGGAACACTGCACTGATGCGCCGTACAGGTCCCAGATGAGGAAATAATTATTCCACGCAAGAATTCTCGTAGGGAATATAGCGCCGAATAGCACCAAGACCCAGAGATAGCGCCAGAGCCTCCTGGAGAGGCTGGTTTGTAAATAACCGCTAATTGTCATGAATGTTGCTTGGAAAGTAAGAAAAGATAGATAAGCCAGTTGGGACCCAATATAAAAGTGATATTGTGTGATACTGCAATGGGTGGCGTATAAGACTATAAGAATCGACGCGCCCGTGATGAGTTGCATGTCGGCAAGTTGGAGGCATATGGGATGGAGGCGCTCCGGTCGGATGCCCAAGACTCGGTTGTTCCAGATTTTACGGCATAGACGGCGGAATGAGGAGGGGATGTAGCTCGATAATTTCTCCCACAGAGGGTTGATGCACCACTTTGTAGTAAAATTGACAAGATATTGGGTCTTTCTACGCATAAGTAAGTCGAGCTTGCTGTAGTAGCCGTCCGAGACAATCCCATCAGCGAAGAAGAAGGCATAGAAAGCGACGAGGTTGGTAAAAATCGCAGAGACGAGGAATGAAGTAATGACCTATAGTTCAGATTGTCAATCCATTGGTAGTGGCAAAGCGTGTGTATCAATCATACCCCGGTGCCTGCCTATATGTACATCATGAGTTTTGTGCACGATAGTAAATCTCTGTGAACTGGAGAGCTTAGAGGACTAACAATATCGGGATCACCTTCAAATTCCCACTTTGGTACTGCCGATGTGTATTCGTACTCACTGGGGCAGCGAGGGTACGGGCTGCACATGTTCGATTGCTGATTGCTCTTTCGGATGAGCCAGATGGAATTTTGTGCTAACCTAGGTCCTGAACTGTGAAAAAGAGATCGGATTTTAGATTTTAAGAGGATAGATAGAGTTTAGGACGTGAGAACGTCCTTGAGAAAACTGATAACGGGGAGAAGCTGCTAATAACAGGCTATGCGTGGCAAGCGCCCACAAAATGAGGCTGACGGCCCGCGAAGAATAAAGCTACGACAGGTCATTTTTTGTATCGACTAATCAAACAAGGATAATTTCGCCAAGCAGCAAATCAGCATGTCACCCATTCTAATAATATTCCTAGTTAATTCTCAATACGCTGTCCCGCACAGGCACATAATTAGGAATCGAAAGAAAAGAAAACCCAAGGTTAAAAGGTCTCCGCCATACCCATTTGGCCGATTTGAGCATTTGAATTCCAGAGTGCTTTTGTAGTCTTTAGATATGTTGAAATATACAGTATTAAACTGTACAAAGCATGGATTTGAGGTATTGGGATTTTGCAAATGATACTTGAGACTCGAACTATATGATCAAAGATAAAATTGTAAATTGTCTACCCTCTCAATGCCAGGCAAGAAACCTATATTTATGGACTTCATACGCCTGTAGATACTCATAATAAACCCCTCATATGGAAGATGCAATTTGTAATGGCATTATGAATGGAATCACAGAGAAAATAGGAGATAAGACGGATTCCGCCGGTGGACGCAGTTTGAATGCAGTCTGAATTGAAATACCATCCTTCGATACAACCTGGATGCAGATTATATGCAGGAATGGGTGACGAAGCTGTCAAGCTGCATCGAAAAGATCCTTGGCATGCAAGAATGCCTTCGCGTTTCGAAACAGGTTTTGTATTGAAACCATCCCAGGTTAATTACTGCGGGTTAACTGGAATTCTAACCAAGATATACCTGGATTGATTTTAAAGCCTTCTAGAGAATAGGCAAAATCTGTTGATTGCTTGAATAAACTTGGAAGATTAGAGTGCGTAAATGGGAATGAAGTGTTTCAGGGCCGTGGAAGTTTACGAGCCCCCCATTCATAAAGGCGCCTCTAAATTGTGACTATAGAGTTGTGGAAACTATACAACACACCCCTTTCGCAATTCTCCTAACGCGAGTGAAAGCGTCCCAGCAATCTCTCGCGCCATATCCGACTTTTTACCCAGTAGCCACAGCCCCTTCATACAATCCTCAGCCTGCTCCATATTCCGCTCAAAATCATGGCTATTGCGCCCGAGTGTAGTCCCGGCATACTGAACGGACTCATCTACTTCACCTAGAAAGACCATACAAGCTTTGGTAAACGCCCTGATTAAAACCATCGTCCATGGCTCAGTCAAGAGCGTGCCCTCATTGACAGCGTGGTGAAACTCCGGCATATGCGGCACACCCATGTTATGACCATTTATGGTAGGCATAGTACCGACTCTTGCGAGATCCGATAGCTCCCTCGCACTGTGCATTCTCATTTTCCTCGCCACTTGACTAGTGATACGAATATGAGTTGACCCTTCCATGCCCAGGGAATTTTCGTCAATGAATTCTAGCAGATCTGCAAGCATCAGGACAGCAAGGTGCCAGTGCGCAGAGATACAGAGAAACCAGCCCTGTATGCGTTGCGGAATGGCACGGTAGTTTTGCACTAGTTCCATGAAGAAGGCGCCGTGAGTTCTGTTCCAGTATTCATATAGCAACATTGCCATGTGGAGTATATCTTCGATTTGGTCTTCAGGGGCACTCTTGCGAAGGGCATTCTGTAGGTAGGACAGGTGGCGGAAGAGAAGAACCTTGACCGGCGCTGACTTGATGATGTCTTCAGCGGCAGCCTCATAGGAGCAGGGCCAGTGCGTTTGGCGCGTTTCTTTGAGGTGTCCTTGCAAGAAAATATCGAGATTCCATCTGGCTCTTCCTGAAGATTTGTCGATATTCCCGGCTTGCTGGATATCCTTTTGCCCTTCGTGCTCGCAGTCCTGATCGACTACCACAACGGGTCGCTCATTCATGGACGAGGAGAGGGTGTCACACATGATAGCCATCCAGTAGAGCAGGCCAATCGTTCCTCGATCTTCAGCACTCATGGCCTCAATGCTGTGATCGTCATTCTCGCGACTACCACACAGCATGCCAAGGCCTTTTTTTCGCGCGTCGCAGCGATATTTTAGTGCGTGCATTTTTCGAGTTGCCCTCTCCATGTATATCGGTGGGCCTTCTTTGGTTATTATATCGTTTACCTTTGATAGGACCAAGTCCGTGGCAGACTTGTGGCCTTGCTCTTGCATCCCTTCTCTAGGAGACTGATTTCTGAGATTCCATGGCCGTTGTATCAAGCCAAAGATCAACTCGGCACAGGCTACTCTATATGACTCCACATCGGAGACTTGTTGGAGTGCGCGGTGTGCCTGGTCCCACAAGTGGTGCTGGAGAATGCGGTCGAACTCATCGGCGATGCCTCTGTCAATTTCGTCCTCGCCATCATCGAAGGGCCTGGTCGAATATTTCTCACTGTGCCGACGACTGCCCTGTGCCCACTGCGTAGCAAACGCCATCATTACAAGGTGCAGAGCCCTGGATGCAGCCTGGTCCTCGGCACGTGTTAGCTGTAAGAGCTTGGAAGACTGTGCGACACGATCGAGCCTGATCGTGCGCTGGTATATCATATTAGACCGTGGGGAGTCCCATTCGGGTACAGGCCGAGTGGTATTTCGTGATCCCGGTTGGTAGGGACAAGTAATCTCGCTTAACCAGCATGATAAGTTGTGCTCTAGCACGTCGTGATAGATTTGGAGCAGATTCGCTGAAGTCAGGTTGCAGTTGGATGTGTTAATCATTTGTTGGTCGATGGAAAATGGGGAGAGGGACCTTTGCGAGCTGTTCCAGTGAGATGATTGCTGGTTGAGAGACGACCAGGCAGATCCACTCTGCCTCTGTGGGGTTTTGGATGGAACGGATCCGAGTCTACTGTACATCTCAGATGTCTGAGATGTCTGGGAGGCCTGGGAGGTCTGGGGAGCCAGCCACATCTGGTGGTACATCGGATCAAGTTCGAGGTCTGAGGGTGATTGGGTAGAGGTATACGAGGAACTAGAGAAGTATGGCGGCATGAGATCAGACACAGATTCCGTAGACGTGAATGCATCAGGCTTCTCCTGGGAGGTCTCGGTGTCATTGAGCATGGAACTGAGCAGCATTGAATTATAATCAAGCAATGACCCAGACACTGACTCCGTGTCCCAAGTCATAAGCTCCGGTGTGAGATTTGGGTCGAGCATATCGTTCCATGTTCCGGATCCAGGTTCAAGCGGGAACCCATTGGCTTTCCATGGAAAGAGATTATCTCGGCCTTCACTCTCTGAATGAGGTTGTAGACGCGGCAATCTCGATGTCGACTGAGCCTGTGATCGGGCCCATTCCATCGTACAGCGTTTATTTGTTCTGGCACAGTAGGAACATGATGATCGCTGGTCATCGACGTTGTTAACCAATGTTCGTCTAGTCAGATTTAGCGATAGTGCATCGCATGCTCGCTTGGATTTTCTGCACTGGTCACAAGAGCCATTCTGACGCCTGGATCTGGATCCTTGTGCAAATGTTGTCCCTCGTTTCTGGATAGGCATGCTGTTGACTTAAATTTTTTTTTGCCCCTTGCTAAAGAGATGTTGTCAAAAGGCGGGGAACCACTTGATCCTGGAGATCTTTAGAGTTTAGGGGCTTTTTTTAGTTCGAACCTCCCCGCGAATTTCCCCGTTCCCCGGATCTCCCTTAGCCCGACATAAACTTGGTGATTTTTTATGGAAGAACATAACCTGTTTATAGGCTGACAAGGGGAGATGAAGAGACGAAGGAATTATTCTCCAGCATAATTAGCTAGTTAACTAGTTAAATAGCATGTTGAAGCCTGACAAACAGGGCATCAAGGCATAACTAAATATATTGAGATACCAAGGTATCAAGGCTATAAAGGCATGACATCAAGGCTTCCGTCCTAACACTTCATTGAGCAAGAGCTTTGTATATCTCAGCCTCAACCGTTCCCCATAATCCAAGCACCTTCGCGTCCGCAAAAGGTAGAATCTGTGTACAAACAATCCCCGCAATACCCTTCTCCCTATCCGCCCACCACCACAAATTCGGCAGCCCAGCCCAGTGCACTGTGCTATTCGATCGCCCTGTCGGACCACCATTACTCAGCATGAAAGTCAGGCCCCAGCCCTGTGGTGGGTTCCCAGAAACTGGATACAACTCAGGAATGGGGTTGGTCAGGTCCGGATTTGCGTCTGGGATGCTTTGGCGGCTGTAATTGGGGAACTGAGGGATCTGGTTGGAGAACATTTCGTCGACGGTCTCCTTGCGAAGCAATTTGCTGCCCGTTCTGGGACACGTTCCATCATTTAACAGCACAGCAAGGACCTCTGCGGAGAAAAGTCAGTGTGTGGAGCGACAGAATCTCGGAGCTACTCGCGACTCACTGCAATATTCCTGTGGCTTGGCAAACATACCCGCACCGCCGCTGTTGAACACTCTGGCAACTTCAGCATCGTTTTCCAGGTCAACGACTAGAGGCGCTCGAAGAAGATGGTCTCGGGGTCTCAGGCTGCCATCCGGGTTTCGATGATTCATGTACGCCAGCCTCTGACGCATGTCGTGGCTCGGGACCATGGACATGTCCTTGATTTCAAGGGGCAGAAAGACATTCTTTTGGAGGTAGTCATTGAGTGTTAGGCCAGTTGCGCGTTCCAGTGCGATTCCCGCCCAGTCGATACCAACCTGTACTCATTAGCGATGCATTCCATGACTCTGGATATATAGTACTTACGCCATATTCCCAGCCCTCACCGGGCTGGAAGAGCAGAGGCCTCTTCATATCTTCAATCCGCCCAGAGAACTCATCCACGCCAATCGGGTACGACCACTGTCTCAATCTCTCATTGAAAAATGTATAACCGAATCCGGCAGTATGAGTTAACAGCATACGGAGGGTAATTGCATGCTTCTTCTCCTCAAGACTACCATCTGGCCGCAAGACCTCGAGACCCTTCAATTCAGGGCAAAGACCCTCTGTCTGCTCCCCATCATCCAGCTTCAGAATACCCTGCTCAACCAATTGCATGCAGGCAACACCAACCAGCATTTTTGTGCACGATGCAATCCAGAAGATGTTATCCAAGGTCATGGGGTCTTGTGATCCCGTGCCTCGATTACCCGCAGAGTGGGCGAATAGTTCGTTGCCATCTTTGCCAATGACCACGACCGTAGCCCCGGGAATCCCGGACTTTTGGTCTTTGCAGGCTTTGTCTATAATATCGCAGAGATGCGAATGCACTTGCGCATTTAGAGACATGTCGATTCCTGTACGAGGGAACTTGTGTGTATGTTGTATTGACAAAATGTCAGATCTACTAAAATGAACATCAAGGGAGACCCCAAGCGTGACTTTAACAGTTTCAAACCGCCCCTGGAAGATATCTCCCGTTGTCCCGAGGGGTTCTCTCCTACCTAGGCACGGCGTATAGACTGTGGGGTTTAACTTTGCGGAACCGCCGTAGATTGCGGAAGATGCGGGAAAGCTTCCAAGATCGGCTCTGCTCCGGATCCGCAGATAGCAGTCCAATCACAGCTGCACATTTTGTGATGAGATGTGCATAAGAATGCATAATCTTAATGTGACGTGTTGCACAGCAGCGGCTAGGGCCTAACAATGCAGTCTCGAAGTGCTTCGATAGATAAGACTGCTATTCTTGCTCTTCCGGCATGATAGAAAAAGACGGCTTGGAATTGCACCTAGTCACTTGACAAAATGCTGGTGGGATTTCAAGCGTAAATCATAATGGGATCACCCCCAAGACTGAATTTCTGGGCAGAAAGCCACATTTCCATGCTCGCCCCAAAGTCTGCCACGCGTGGTGCATGAATGCGGGGTACCCTGCGGTTGCCAGCGTTGTATCATGGGCACTCGGTAATCGGATACTGTTGACAGCTCATGCTAACATCAGCAGTAAAACGTGGGTGAAGGTATCTATAAGTAGGGGCGAGGAGGTGCCCAAGGAACAACGCTTTACGACAATCCAACAGTCAATCTCAATATCCATTTACAACTTCAACACTTGATCATTTCAATCGATCGAAATGGGTAGCATAGAAGAGACAGTCTTCAGACCGAAGAAGTATAACACTGAGCTCACCGACTACTCCGCAGTTCACACCGACAAGACTGGGCCATATGCCGACAATCTCGAGGTCGATGCTCTGGTCGTGGGTGCCGGTTTTGGTAAGTTCACATTCTACGGTTGATTCACCAGCTAACGGAATAGCCGGTGTCTTTATGCTCAAGACCCTTCGCGATCGCGGCTTGAAGACGGTCATTTTCGAGGCCGGCAACGACACAGGCGGCACCTGGCGATGGAACTGCTACCCCGGCGCCGGGGTCGACTCCGAAGTCCCGGAGTACGAGTTCTCCTGGCCCGAGGTATACAACACCTGGAACTGGCCCAACAACTACCCTAACTACAAGAACCTGCGCGATTACTTCGATCACGTCGATAAGGTAGTTGGCGTCAAGAAGGACTGCGCTTTCAACACTGTTGTGGTTGGAGCCCAGTTTGATACGAACGAGGGGAAATGGAATATCAAAACTGCAGATGGTCGCACGACCAAGGCCAAGTATCTTGTCCTTGGAACCGGCTTTGTGAGTAATTACGCCTATCAAATAAAGACCAACAACTTGCTAATGAATCGACCAGGCCGCGAAGCGCTATATTCCTCCGTGGGCTGGCATGGATAAATTCAAGGGTGTCGTCCACCACTCATCCTTCTGGCCGGAGGAAGAAATCGAAGTGAAGAACAAGCGCTGTGCTATCATCGGCACCGGTGCCTCGGGCGTGCAAATTACGCAGGCATGGGGCCCCAAGGCTAGCGACCTCAAAGTCTTTCAACGAACCCCAAACCTCGCTGTGCCCATGCGCAAGCGAGATCTCACTGCTGAGGAACAGGAGCGCATCAAACCATACTACCCAGAGCTCTTCCGGTACCGCGAGACCACATTTGCCGGCTTCCTGTATGATTGGTGCGAACGAAACACCTTTGACGATACGCCCGAAGAGCGCGAGGCGTTCTACGAAAGCGTCTGGAAAGAAGGTGGCTTCCGCTATTGGATTGCCGTGTACAAGGACAACTTGATGAACCCCGAGGCCAACAAAGAGTCATACAATTTCTGGGCGAAGAAGACCCGTGCTCGTATCGGTGACCCAAAGACAAGGGAGTTACTTGCGCCGCGGGAGATGCCACACTATTTCGGAGTCAAACGGCCTTGTCTCGAAAAGACATATTACGAGCAGTTCAATCGGGAATCAGTGCACCTGGTCAGCATCAAGAATAACCCGATCAAGGAGTTTACCGAGACTGGTATTACCCTTGAGGACGGAACCCACCATGAACTTGATGTCATTGCTGTTGCGACTGGATTTGTAAGTTCTGTTTGATACACCAGCAAAACAGGAGCAAGCGCTGATATTAACAGGATGTCGTTACCGGCGTTATGACCCAGCTCGGTCTGAAGAGCATCGACGGCGCCGAGCTCGAGAAGGAGTGGATTCCAGGCGCAAAGACCTACCTCGGCACCACCGTGAGCGGCTACCCCAATATGTTCCACATCTATGGCGCACATGGGCCGACGCTCTTGAGCAATGGCCCCACGGCGGTCGCGGTGCAGGGCCGGTGGATTTCCGACGCTATTGCCAAGATCGAGGCCAATAACATCAAGTATATCAATCCCAAGATTGAGGCTGCTGATAACTGGAAGAATCATGTTGTGGAGCTCAATAACAGGACCCTATTCCCCACAACACAGTCGACGTACATGGGTGGCAGCGTCCCTGGCAAGGTTTCTGAGCCAGTGTGCTACTCTGGTGGTATTCCTGCTTACGCTAGCGAGATTCGGCAAGCCCTGGATAACTGGGAGGAGGGATTCGACGTCGTCAAGGCTTGAGTGGGCTTCTGATGCTGAGTAAGAATGAGCGTTACCTCCAGGGCCAGTACCCCACAAAAGGACTAGAAGTATAATGCGTTAGGTACTTTCTAGGCTAGCAGCAAATTTGATATAGTTGAAAGATATTCGTATTCAAATATGATTTTGAACTCAATGAAGAAACCTTTTGGAATCTACCAGCCCTGCTCTTGCCAAATTGTCTCCGCGATTTTCTCTAGTTGCTGTTGTGAGATTTTCAGATCCTTCTCTCCTGGGGGAGAGGGCTCTCGACGGAAGAGACTTTCAAACGGGATACTGAGAGAATGATGAATGACGTTCGCCTGGTCCCCTGTTTTGATGATATAAGTGACCTGGGAGCGGTGGATTCTGTCCTGCTGCTTGGAGGATGTACATAAACATATTGCTAATGCTTGCAATGCTTGATGCGCTGTTGTGTTATTTTTTAAAACAAAGTCTATCTTCCTTCAAATGCAGCGCCCTTGGGAAGTCGCTCCTTTATGTAACACTGATTGGTACAATAATGCACCTTGATCCGCAGTCGTAGCTGGGGCGCAAGCTGCCTAGCATGCTTCACCCACGGGTGCTGCTCATTGGGCAGATGCTCGTCCATATAGATGTCCTTTTGCTCCGACAGGTTAGGTAGCCAAGCGGAGCCCGGGTTTGTCCCAAGAATATCGAGCTTTCTCTCTCGTGCCGACTGCCACATGTACGCGAGGATAGTCCATTCGGCTTTTTTTTCCATGTTTCCACGACCTTTTTGAATAGAGAACTTGTGAATGTTTCGAAGAGCGTTTGCACGACCGGTTCCTTTTCGAATGCGTGTTCCCGGTATAATGCTTGGAATTCCCTCACCCGAGCCTCGTCGTCGACATCGACCATTTGAACAGGCGCATCGCCCAGCAACCCGAATAGGCCAGACTTCAGAGCAACTTCACTGGTGATATGCAGAGAAACCCCCGCCATAGTTATGTCTAGCCTGCTGCGTTGATCTTTCGCCCAAGGTAGGAGATCGACCATCTCGCGCACGTCATCGGCCGCTTCTCCTCTGCCGTGATAAAGAATCTTCGGGATAGCCCACATCCCGAAATGAAGTGGGTTTTCGCGGCAAAGCTCATCAACGTCGCCATCGCACTCCAACACTTGCTTCAAGCTAAAAGTGTAAATAAGCTCTGCCGTAACAGAAGGCCGCATCCCAAGATCCTTCGCATGCAATAGAAACTCGTCAACCGAGCCTGGACCGTCGGAATCAACTCCCTGGATAGCGTACCACATTCGTGTCCAGTTGTAATGTAGTACATCCCGACGCGGTTGCACCCATATCTTTTTTGATTCTCGCAGGGTAATCTCGTATGGCAGTTCCAATAGGTGTCCCTGTTCCAGGGCGACTTGCCGAGACTCGCTATTGACGAATGCGATAACCGGCGGCTGAGAGTTTTGGAATTCCAGACGTCTGGCCCAGCAGACTTGTTTGGATTCGTAGCCGTCGAACCAGTAGTCAGGGCTATCTTCTTCTGCTATACGATGCGGTAGGCAGTGCATCCAGATCATACGGCGTAGCTCTAGAGGCAGGTACGAGAAGTAGTGGAATAAATCGTTGGTCATCTTGTGCATCCAGTTGTTAGCCACTGTCATATGAGGTGCGAGTATCAAGAAATTAGATGGAAGACAGATCACAGTTGTCACTAGCGTGTCACATGACACCAAAGACTACTAAGTAGTCTACTCAGGTGGAAGACGAAGGAGATGTTCAGTCGTGAGGGTGTTTAGTCTCTTACCTTCCACGCGATCGCTCAAATGCGAGCAGAGAGCGCATTCACCCGGGGCGACACGAACCCAACTATAAGCTATAAAAAAAATCCGGATATTATAGAGCGGCAGAGGTATCCACTAGGGTGAGTGTGGGTGATTTGTGTTTGTAGTCCAGAAACTGAAGTGAGGAGCGGGTGAGAAGGTGAGTGAAACGTGAGGAAGTGCCCTCCGAACACATATACAATGGTCGCCTTGGATGCATTACCTGCTCTATTATAAGTTTTCTTTTTTTTCTTGCAATATGGACACAGAAGTAGACGAAATGATTCTAATAACTAGTGAGTAGCGCCAAAAGCTTACTAAATCGCATGGGCTCACTCTATGGCGCTTCGTAATACAACGAATATATGGGCGACCATCTTGAGCATTGTTCCATACAATGGGACTTCATGTCAGCCTAGTCTGAGGTTGAGTACATAGCCAATTGTGAATTGATAAGCTTGATCCTCATACTTGTTCTATCCGTCCAGACCTTCCTGAGGGTCAGTGGGTCACTGCAATTTCCTCGGAAACTGGTTCATACGCGTGCCGGATATTGAATTTTGGACAATCAACTGAGTCTCTCGGCTTACCCTTCTAAATTAGAACACCCGAATTCATAATGTGTTCCAGTCTCCCTTCTAGTAACGTGGAAACTCCAAGGAAGCGATAATAAACTGTAACTAATGTGACAAAGTAGATTGCAATACAAAGTGGTGAACTATGGTGTTGGGCTTGAATGATTGCCTGGGGGCTATTATTTTGCTAACTTGTGCAAGAGCTCCAAGGCGGGACGCTCCAAGTCCTGGAACTTCGTGTTGAGAGGCATATTTGTCTGCAACTTATCTATGCAGCCTGGTGAGATAAAATTCCCCGGGGAGGCAATATGGATCGAGTATTTCAAATCCGCGTAGTTGTGGCTAGGATCTCTATCTGAATTGTATCGACAAAAGTATGCACTGCAGCCTCGGAACCTGCGAGGAAGCGATATCTATCAGTTTTTTTCATCTTGTGTGTTACAAGGCTGCAAATGATTGGTGTGTGCAATTGAGCCCGGAATGGCTAAGAATGCGGAAGCAGATCAGTCAGCTGCGCTCTGGATTAGTTCAATATTAGATGAGGAAAGTTTCATACCTCCTGGGCATCGCCAATGTCGACTGTGACAGTGATATATATATGCGGCGAATTGAGAAAGTAGTTATGGGAGCCTATGTATTAAGCATTTGGCACGAGCAACGTGAGCTATATTCCTCGCGCATACCGTTTGGCATCCTCAATATCATATTGTCTCATTACTCTTCAGTTTGAAGGGAGTAACCTGCAAATACAATGTAGTCACAAATCACAAACATCCATAGATCGGGACATCGGTTCCACGGGTTCCGTCCCCAAAGGTTCGGCCCGTCCTCAGAGGATTTTCCGATGTCCGCTCAGCCCCCGGCCCCTTTACGAGGACCCAATCCACAAGTAAGCACAGGCAATCCATAGGCACCAGCCGGAAAAGCAAATAACCCATCAGCAAAGGGAATCCTAATCGACTCTAGCTCTTGGAGTTTCAAAGTCTCCCTGTATATTTGTCGACCGATTACCCCGTGTCGAGTAGCCGATCGAGCAAATATCTCGTCTTTCCATGTATTTTTGTCTTCTCGCTCCGGAGTCAATCTGATCAAAAAGCACAATGATCCCTTCTGAAGCCACCAACCCAGGTGCTGAGATCTCCGTCATTCCAGACAGACCAGACTTGGAACAAAACTCAGAGAAAGCCGAGAACGTGAAAATAGTGACTGAGACCAGGGACACACGCTCCCCTAAAGAGAAAAATGAACAGGAGAATGCTGAATCGACAACCAAAAAGTCGCTTTCCTTCAAGCTCGCCTTCATAGGGCTCGCAGCGAGTCTTTTCGTATTCCAGTTGGATGCAACATGTCTAGGCATCGCCCTCCCAGTAAGCCTTAACACCCATCCTGATCCGTATGGCACGCAAATACTCATCCCCATCGCTAGACCATTGCTGGAGAACTGAAGGCCTCGAGTTTAGAGTCATTTTGGGCAAATTTGGCGTATACTCTTTGTGGTCTGGTAATGCAACCAGTCTGGGCCAGCATTTCCAATGGGTTCGGTCGGAAACCTCCTCTTTACGTATCTATGGGATTATTCTTCATCGGTTCCATCGTTTTTGCTACGGCGCAAAATATGAACACTATCATCATTGGGCGAGTCCTCCAGGGTCTGGGTGGTGGAGGAATTGACGTTTTGGCTGCAGTGATTCTCGCAGATATGACAACACTGGAGGAACGCTCAAAATATCTGGGCTTGATGGCCATTCCTTCGGCTGTTGGTAATATCATGGGTCCTATCGTTGGGGCGCTTTTCGCTACGTATGCCTCCTGGAGGTGGATCGGATGGATCAACATCCCATTGCTTGGAATAGGGACACCGATGATTATCTTCTTCCTCAAACTTCGGCCTATCCCACTCGATGCTACGCTCGCTGGGAACTTAAAGCGCCTTGATTGGATCGGAATGGCGCTTTTCATCATCGGAATCTCGATTTTTGTTATTCCCCTGAGTTGGGCGGGCTCTTTATACCCATGGCCCTCTTGGCAGACTCTCTTTCCAATGTTCTTGGGAGTTGTGGTGCTCGTCGCTCTCGGATTCTACGAGGCAAAGCCTGCCAATCCCATTATTCCGCACCGCATTTTTCATACAAAGACTGGAAATATCACTCTGGTAGGAGGCTTTCTCCACGGTATGGTGCTAGTCTCCCTCTTGCAATATTTGCCCTTACTCTACCAATCTGTCGAGCTCCAAAGCGCAATATCATCCGCTGTCTCCCTGCTACCCACTACTATCATCAGCGTGTCAGTGGCAGCAGTTTCAATGATGATGGTACCGTTCTTCGGGGGCTATGTGTGGCTTCTACGACTTTCTTGGGTCATCCTTACATTAGGATCAGGCTTACTGGTGCTCTTTGACACAGGGGCATCAGCAGCTGTGTGTTATGGGCTTCCTATTCTGTGGGGTCAAGGTGTTGCACTACTACGTCTTAACATTCTTCCTATGCAAGCGAGCGTCAAGAATGTTAATGACACAGGCTTGGCCATCGCGCAGTTTCAAACTACTCGCCTGTTTGGTGGCCTTGTCGGCCTCACTATCTCTTCGTCCATTTTCAACAATGTGTTCTCGAAATCTATTACTCATACTACAGTTCAGCTGACGGGGGCCCTAGCGCCGCTGAAAGATGTCTCTAATGCTGTGAGCTTCATTGACTCGTTGAGATCAATACAAGTCTCTGCGTCAACGCTAGACCAGGTGTTAGGTGTCTATCTGCAGTGTTTCCGTGCTATATTTTATGTGATGACCGGGCTAAGTGCATTGGGCTTGGCGACTTCAATCTTCCTGGATGAGATAAACCTTAGTGGCAGGGAGCTTGGGAACCAGCGCTTTGAAGACTAGGCTATAGTCTCAATAATAAGCTTTAGTGCTACAAAATCTCGGGAACAGGGTTCATACAAGCCGTTCCCCCGCGCATTATGCCCGCGACTATCAGCCGCAATGTCCTTTCAGTGGAACTAATTGGCTCTCTGGTATCCGGCGAGTCATGTTTGCGAAGGTTTTCACTGGATTTATCTGTGACGGGGTTTGCATTTAGTCAACGTTGCATCGATTGCGGTGGTTGACGGCGATGACCTGCTCACCTATTGTGACTTGCATTTTGCGTATTGCGCAAAGTCACCGGAACGAGTGCATAAAGCTTGAAGAGTGGTATCGTTGTCCAACTTGGCCTCGTCGATATGGCCCAGGCGGCAACTGTCGAATCTGCTATGGCGCGAACTGGTCAATTGTCAGATGTGGTTGCACTGAAAGTCGAAGACAGCGAGAGAGCTGAGTGCCCTTTTTTCAACGCCTCACACGTTCTGAGTGTCACGGCGTAAGGAAATACTCTCGGGATTCATGGTCCCTCAAAGTTATTTCACCAATGATATCAAAGTTGGTGGTCTTGTCAACCATACAGAACCTTACTCGGCGCATCGTCCCGCAAAATTCGTTAACACAAGAAATATCCTGCGCTTTGCGAGTGTTGGTTGGACCAACGCGTTGCCCTACCACACATGTGTTGATGTATTGACCGAGAAGGTCCCCCGAACGGCTGCTGCGCTTCAGGCTATGGTGGAGAAGACTCATAAGGGTTTGACTCGGTGTGTGCCCTATGAAACCATCCTGTGTACCATACCACGAAGTCTCGGGCCCTGATGAAGAAGTATGTATCAGTGTCTGTGTTAGAACGGAAGCATGGTATTTTGCTCTATAGAAGAAGAGAAACCATCTGGTCTAATTACATAATGAAAGAAATTGAGGTTAGGGTATTCATTTGGTCTATATTCTCTGAAACATAGCTCTTGTTGACTGTGTAGAATCTCAATTTTCAGAACCCGATCCATCACTGATCTCATCTACCGCATCAGGATCTTTTCTACCAGACAACTGGCTTTCTTGATTGTGTCTTCTTGCCCATCGAGCAAGAATCTCTCGGCACTCCTTTCCTTTTTCCATGTCCCAGGCCGTTGACCCATTATGTTCCTTGATACCAAGATCTACCCCATGCTTCAAGAGAAGCTTCACGATCGTTGCATGACCGTAAATCGCGGCAGAATGCAAATTGGTTTTCCCATTTGCCAGTTTGTAATCTGGCTCGGCTCCATGATCAATCAACAATTTTACGGCGTCATAATTTCCAGTAACAACAAGATTTGTTAAAGGTCTAACTCCCGTATAGTCAAAGATGTTTGTATCTGCTCCATGGGCGAGGAGTTGTTTCAAGGCAGGTACGTTAGTGATCAAATAGAGGCGTACGCCCGTACATGTTCTGGATATGAACATCGGCATCATTGTCAAGAAGTACTTTGACCATATCCTCACTTGGCTGACAGAGATGTAATGGTGTAAAGCCGTCGTTATTCTGCCGACTGGCAGATGCACCACGTTCGCAAAGTTCATGAATCAAATCAACTGCATCATAAAATTCACCATTGATAAATGCAAATATCAGAGTTTCGCCCAACCCATTCTCGACATTGATCTCGGCCCCATACTTCAAAAATAAGTCAAGCATAGGCTCCCGCTCTGGAGATTCCAAGTAACAGGCCATCTTCAGGGGACTTTTGTACTCCTGATAATGGGATCCATATCCTCCATTTTCGTAGACATCAACGTGCAATGAATCAGACGCCCCGTGCTCCAGTAGAACCTTGACAGTCTCAAGATTACCGCATGTAGCAGTTACAACCAAAGGCGATATCCACCATAGTGAGCCATTAGCTGTGTTCGTTCGGATTGGCCCCATGGTCGAGGAGTAGCTTGATAACAGCCTGGTAATCCCGGGTGTCCTCCGACCTCTCTGCTACTCTCACATCGAACATGGTGTCATCGTCAAAAATCTCGTCTCCAGGAGGTTCCTCGTCTGAGCTCCAATAATCTTGTATCTCCCTCGGGTGGCGGAAATTGGTGTCCTTGCCTTCAGCTACGGCCAATGTCAACGGAGGTCCACATGGTCCCCAATCCGTATTGCAAAGATCGACTTGGGCGCCGTGCTCGAGGAGTAACCTTGTCATGTCCACATACCCCTCTCTCGCGGCTCCCATCAATGGCGTAGCTTCTCCCAAAGTGAGATGCTTGTAGGCATTTACATCTGCTTTCAATGACAGCATACGTTTGGCTGGGGTCAGGAGGCCATTTGAAGAGCACCAGAAAAGAGGCGGGCGCTTTGAGCGAATGTTTCGCTTGTAAAGATATGTGATTAGCAAGTCATAAAGGGCATGATTAGTTCGCATGAGAGCGGAAACATCCCGTTCTGTGGGTAGGTTCTCTGCGATGAGGAGAAATATTTCGTATGGGAAAACGTTGACCATTTTGGAGGAAAAGTGATACCGAATGAAACCGCGATCCGAGTTTATGTTACCACAGTGTCCAGCTTTTCTGGAAAGTTTCGACCGCCGTATCCAAAAGCAATTGGATAAACATGGAAAACCGCACGCTTCAAGCGTGGAGCGAGATATGAATTGTCGCTTCAGGCATGAATGCTGAGTCATGAAGTATTTCGCCCGTGGACTCAGTGCTTCCAACCTCCAGATCAGATGAGGGATATCAAATGGAAAAGTAGTAACAACGCTTGCGCCTGTGTGCTTCACATTCCTCCCTTCTATGCAATGAATACTCCTCTTCAATTTTGTTATGTCTTCGGGGCGACCTAGATCTACTCGAGTGGATTTGAAGACTTCTAAGCTCATGCTTCAATAGGAGTTTCGAGCCTGTGATATACGCTGGGAAAATGAACCCTGGTCAGGCTGCAACCGAATCACAGGTCATTAATTGGGTTTAAACGGGTTGTTTAGTAGTGCTAAGATCAGTTGGCCTGGAGAAATATCGCCTTGGTGTCACCAGTAATCAAGCTTACTGATCGGTGCCACGGCGGTTTTAAACTCTTTAACAATAAGCTTTTATATTCAACTCTGTTTAACCGCCATTCGAAAAGCTTTGGGAATAAGTGCGCAAATCGCTTCAGTGTGTTTACTATAAATCTAGACTCTCATCGGATCATTTCTGAGGATGAGATGGAACTCTACGTCTCTGCTATTCTATATTTCGATGTCGGTATTACATGTCAACTTCTGATTAATGTGTCATTGTATCCCCCAAGAGTATGTCTTAAATGATGCTAGAACGCTGTTGGACTCTCGAGAAATAAAGCGGAGGGGTTAGTCTCCTTCGGGTCCCCAGGTGTCAAGCCGAAAAGGGTATGCTGCTGAGCGTCTTGATGCGAGGGCTTATATCATTGTAATTATTCCTTTCATAAAATCTCACATCAAATGAAGGACATTTATAACCAATAGGTGCAGCTATAAATAATTTTTCCATGCAGATCATGAATCCTGCATACCTCAAATGTAGCGGTCTAGGCAAATCGGGGCTAGCAATAAATGCTAATCGTAGTGTCAGATGAAAAGTTGAAGCTGAGGCCAAAACTGAACTGTGCATTATAAGAGTACATAATGAGTCTGTTCAGATGAAATTGAAAATGTTGAAATATCAAAATATCAAAATTTGAAATCGAATGAATCTGATAGCGTGGGGTAAAAAGGGACCCTTGCCGCCTTAGGCACCAAGTTATCACGTTGACATGAGGCTGAAGTTGATGATACAAATCTCTGGCATCCAGAGACTGATTCTCCCCAAAAAGGAAAAACAAAATAAGAAATCTCACAGTAACGATCAAAGTTGTTGTGAGACCCACCGATCTTACGGCCCAGCCGCTTATCCAATTTGTTTCTCTTTTTCCCAACTTCACATTTCCCCCCCCCCAACATCCATCTTCCCTGGGTTCAGTTTATTCGGTCCCTTTTGAAACTTTGCCTTGGGTTCTATCAATCATAAACTCTTATTCGTCCTGGGAGCTCTATCCCGCGCTGAACTTGCCCCCCCCCCCCGCCACACCTCCGCGCTTCTCTCCATTCCCCCTCCCCCCTTACTCCAAACTCAGAATTCAAACGACATTTCAGTCTCAGCCAAAATGGATCGGGCTATAGCACGCGCCGTGACCGAGAAGCAACCGGTCCCGGAGATCGACTTCACATTGCACACGATGGAGGATAACACGCAGGTCTCGACAATGGAGAGAGTGGTCAAAGGTAATGCAGTGGTCTCGGTCGCTTTCGCAAGATTTAATCTGATTGCTAACGGTGTTTCGTGACAGAGGTCCAAGCGCCTGCTCTCAGCTATCCTCCGGATGATATGTTTTGGTCGCCAGAGGACCCCTCCAAGCCCAATCTCCAGTACCTCAAGCAACACCTCTATCGTGAAGGTCGTCTTTCAGAAGAACAGGCTCTATGGATCATCCACGCCGGTACACAGGTTTTGAAAGCCGAGCCAAATTTGCTCGAAATGGATGCGCCCATCACAGTGTGTGGCGATGTTCACGGCCAGTACTACGATTTGATGAAGCTGTTCGAGGTCGGCGGTGACCCTTCAGAGACGCGGTATCTGTTTTTGGGTGACTATGTGGACCGTGGTTATTTCAGTATTGAGGTGGGTCGTCCGAGTTCGAGTTGCGCTAAATCTTGAAGAACTACCCTGACCATATGTCTCCGCAGTGCGTCCTCTATCTCTGGGCATTGAAGATCTGGTATCCCGATTCACTTTGGTTGCTGCGGGGTAATCACGAATGTCGCCACTTGACAGACTACTTCACCTTCAAGTTGGAGTGCAAGCACAAATATAGTGAACGGCTGTACGAGGCATGCCTGGAATCCTTCTGCGCGCTGCCGCTGGCGGCGGTTATGAACAAACAGTTCCTCTGCATTCATGGTGGTCTCAGCCCCGAGCTGCATACCCTCGAAGACATCAAGGCTGTATGTATCTGCCCTATCCGTATTCGGAATGATAGTATTAGCAGAGATATATTGGCAGAAAGCTAACAGACATAGATCGATCGCTTCCGCGAACCCCCAACCCACGGTCTTATGTGCGACATCCTTTGGGCTGACCCTCTAGAGGAATTTGGGCAAGAAAAGACAGGCGATTTCTTTATTCACAATAGTGTCCGTGGTTGCTCCTACTTTTTCTCTTATCCTGCGGCATGCGCGTTTTTGGAGAAGAACAATTTGCTCTCCATCATCAGAGCACACGAGGCCCAGGATGCCGGATATCGCATGTACAGAAAGACGCGAACCACTGGCTTCCCTAGTGTTATGACGATTTTCAGTGCGCCTAACTATCTGGATGTTTACAACAACAAGGCGGCTGTCCTGAAATATGAGAACAATGTGATGAACATCCGCCAATTCAACTGCACCCCGCACCCATATTGGCTGCCTAACTTTATGGATGTTTTCACTTGGTCTTTGCCGTTCGTTGGTGAGAAGATCACGGATATGCTCATCGCCATTCTCAACACCTGCTCGAAGGAAGAGTTGGAGGACGAGCCCCCCACACCTGTGTCTCCCGTTGAACAGAAGGATAAGGATCCAATCTCGCCCCCGTCAACGGACCCCGAATCCAGCGAGTTCAAGAGACGTGCTATCAAAAACAAAATTCTTGCCATTGGCCGCCTCTCTCGTGTCTTCCAGGTTCTCCGCGAGCAGTCCGAGAGTGTCACTGAGCTGAAGACGGCGGCTGGCGGTCGTCTTCCTGCTGGAACCCTCATGCTGGGTGCGGAAGGTATCAAACAGGCTATTCACAACTTCGAGGATGCCCGGAAGGTTGATATCCAGAACGAGCACGTGCCCCCTAGCCAAGAAGAAGTTATCGCAAAGAGTGAGGAGAGTCGTCGTGTGGCCCTGGAGCGGGCTGAGCATGAGGCTGCCAACGATGCTGGGCTCGCCACGGTTGCTCGACGGATCAGCATGTGAGTATTTACTTGGAGAGATTTTGCCACCATCCCATTTCACATACTAATTAAAATCATCAGGTCTGCTGGCTCAGGCCGCCCCCGTTCTCGACAGAGGGATCCTCCTAAGGATGCCTGATCAAACTATGATGTGGCCGAGTTGATATTATGACACGATCTATGCATTTCTTCTTCCTGTCCTCCAGCGCACACGCCTTTTGTCCCGACACGATCGATACGATACCCTATCTATCTGCTTGATCCTAACCCTCGCCTGGCGATTTAACCTGTGAATCCACAACTCTAGCGATAAATAGGACTGTTCAGTTAAAATGTGTGCTTTTCCACCCACCTTTCGTAGCCAACTCTGCAACTACAGTAGGGAAAGGGGTTCATGTATTGTAAATATTGACATAATGATCAACCTTATTTCACCCAAGTTATCTGGTAGCCACGTCGAAGTAAAGTATGAAACTACCTATGAAGCCCGTGATGAACGCCAAGGCCCGTTCCCGCATCCACTTCCGCTCAACCAAGTTCATCCAAGTGCCATTGCGAGAACTGCCCTACAAAGCTCGCTTCACTGCGCCCCAATGGCTCCAAGATTGCGCAGCGCGCTCGCAAAGAGCCTGTCGCGTCCACTGGATATCAGCGCTGTCTTTTACTGCCCCTCGTGCGCGATCTGGCGACGAACCTTGTCCGCGCGCGCCTACACCAGCCGCAGCATCGACAAACCCGACACATCTCGACGAGTCGCCAGAGCTCAAAACACAATCGCAGCATCGGCTTCCCGGACATTTACCACATCCTCCATTATCACTGCGAAGAGCGTGCCGCCGCGGTTCAAGGAGCTGCACGCCGCACTCGAGGGAGTGAAGGATGCCGCCCTGGAACAGGTGAACCTCAGTCGGCTGCAATTCGCACTGCGAGGATTGGAGTCTGAAACGCCTCTTATTAGAGTAGCTGGTGAGTTTCTGGTTATATGATCCGGCTATTGCTCTCAGCATTGGGTCTTCCTCAAAGAAAGCATGGCACTAATTTATCTTCGATTCGGACTCTAGTTCTTGGATTGAACGATGCCACCTCTGCACGAAAGCTTGTTCGACTACTACTTGCCGACCCATTGGCACCCCGGGAAGGCTGGGAAGACATTCTCGACTCATATGATGCCGATTCATCCCGAGGACTGCTGATCAGGTATGGACAAATCTTCTGTCTGCGGGTTTGACCGTCCGTGACTAGTACTGATTTGAAGGATCCATTCTATAGATATGGCGAAATCTCACAATCCATCCCCAATGACCTGCTACCAACGATATCAGTGCCATCGCCCATCCTGAGGAAGGGCAATTTGGAGATCCTAGTCAGCACCCTAGGCTCTGAGCCTGACCACCACGCCGCTACGTTACACGCCGACACCTTCCTCGTCCCGACAGTTACTATCCAGACCTCGCACTCCGGTCGGCATAATTTTGTTCGGTATCCCGTGCACCGCACGATCGTATGCGGTCGTGGCGTGGATGGCCT